CTCCTGAACAATGACTGGGTCAAAGGAGAAATTAAGAAAGAAATAAAAGAATTCCTGGAATTCAATGAAAAGGGCAATACAACACAGCACAACCTCTGGGACACTTTAAAAGCAGTCCTAAGAGGGAAGTTTATAGCTCTTAAGTGCCTACATTAAAAAATTAGAAAGAGCCCAAAGAAATGACCTAACACTGCAACTCAAGACACTGGAAAAGCAAGAACAAATGAGACACAAACCCAGAAGAAGAGAAGAGATAACAAAAATCAGAGCAGAATTCTCATAACAGAAAATTTATTTGTTAATGCTATTATGTCTCATAATTATAAAAAAAGAGAAAATGAGAATGTAAAAGATGTTAAAAGGATATGGGAATGGAGTTATTTTCCAAAATAGAAAAAATGAGAGAGCCTAAGCAAGTGATGAAGGTCTGTGTAGGTTTGTGATGATATATAAAGGACGAGACAAAAATAATATATACATAATCTTAAAATTTATAAGGTCATAGTTTAGTCAGTTAGTTTAAGGAACAAAATATGTATCTAATCAAGGTGTATCTGAGACTATTTGGTTTTTTACGCAAGCTTTATCTACATAGCACATGGTAACTGAAAGTACCAGATTGGTAGAACTAACCTTATTGGATGTTTAACAGCCATACTTTGAGGCCTATACTAATCTGGTCAGAGAGACTTAAAGGACAGTTTTTGCCCCTTGCCCTCCAAGGTTGACTATTTTCCAGGGGACTATGGAACATCTCTCAAAATGTCCTGTAACTGTGGTGAGTCACCTGTCCTCTTGTTCAGGGAGGCCATAGAGACCCCATGAGATGGACTTGAACCAGTGTCCAGTCTACAAAGAGGGTCAATTCAGAGGAAACACCTCATCCATGCTTCCAAGTGAAGCCAGCCATGGTCGAGCAGGACCTTTGACTTATCTTCACATAGATGGAACTGGTAAAAGAAAGGAGCCAGGGGCTCCTCCCAAGCCCATGTAACTCCTGAGGAACAGATCCTCAAATGACCTTAAGTGTGAAAATAAATTGATTTATTTTGGCCAACTGTATGGTCTTAAACACTCAAAAGGAAAGTATAACCAAAGAGTAAAGTCATCAGTATATTTCTTTTTAAAACAATTTTTTTATTTTTAAAAATATTTTATTATTTTTATTTTACGTGTATTAGTGCACTGCTTGCATGTATATGTCATGCAATGCTGCAGAGGTCAGAAGAGGGCTTTGGATTCCCCTGGAACTGGAGTTATGGATGGTTTGCAGCCGCTATGTGGGTTCTGGGAATCAAACCCGGGTCCTCTGCAAGAGCAGTCAGTGCTCTTAACCGCTGAGCCATCTCTCCGGCCCCATCAGTATATTTCTTTAAGAGTTCAAGGGATTACACTTCCCAGGCATTAGGCTTAAGTTCATATGAAAAGTTATTCAGACAATTATTTCTCATTGACTATTTTGTTCCTAATCAAAAAGTGCTGCTCAGATGTAAGACTTCAAATCTTGGTCTCCAGTACTGTAGTGCCCACCTGTAGCTAAGGGAGACAACCAGCTATTGTTCTAAAATGATGGAAAAATTTGTTTTCTCTCCCTATCTAGAAGCCTTTGAGAGGGAACTGACACTGGTTCTAACCATTCCAACAGCTATCAAAATGCCTGAAAGCAAATCCTGAATCCATCACTCTTGAGTCCAGCCTTAGAAGACAAAAGAAAAATGAGGAGGAACCCAGTAGAGGCATGCTTTTGGAAGCCCTTGTCAAGAAACTCCAATGGACTTTCATATGAACATTTGAAAATTGCCCTGTTCTGACTTTTTTCTAGTTCTGTGTCTAGAACTTGTAATGCTAATTACTCTTGCCTTTACTTCTCTTTCACATCTCCTATTCACGAGTCAAGGACTTTCTTTTCCCCCTACAGATTAAAGTTATACCATTTGGGAGTGTTTTAGACAGACCCACTGAAGGGGTACCCCAATTGCCTCACCCTGTGTCCCTGTTCAGCATGGACAAAGCCAGAGCAGTCTGCATCCTGATTCCCTGTCCACAAGTTGGGTAACTGCTTCAGAGGGTGATGTGATAAGAATAGGAGGTAGGAACTGGCTAGGCAGTTAGGGTAAAAAGACCCCAAAGAAAAATAGCCAGTTTCTTGGCTAAAACTTACAATGTCCTTGGGCCTCTTAGCAACATACTCTGTTCCAAAGACCAAAAATATCGAAAGTATTTGGGATCTTTTATCTAATCCTTAAAAGATTTTAGGGGTAATGCTAATTATTCTTGCCTTTGTCTCTCCTTCACATCTCGTATTCATGATTCAAGAACTTTCTTTTCCCCCTAGCATACTCCATTCTAAAGGCCAAAAATGTTGAAAATATTTGGGAATTTTTAGCTAATCCTTAAAAGATTTTAGGGTTACGTCTTCAGAGGGGGAATGTTACAGTAGCCAAAAGCCACATAATCAACCAATCAATCAATCAATTAATCAACCAATCAATCAATCAAAAAAAAAGAAAGAAAGTATGTGAAGTTATCAGAAAAAAGTGATGGGGAGATATGGGAGGAGTTAGAGGGGAGGGAGTGGCCATGGATTTAATCAAAACACCTCATATACATGCATAAAATTCTCAATAAATTATTTAAAAAAAGAATGGTTATTAACAGGCAAGGCATGGTGGCATACTCCTTTAATCCCAGCATTCTGGAGGCAGAGACAGTGGATCTCTTCAAGTTCAAGGCCAGGCTGATCTACATAGTGAGTTCCAGGTCAGCCAGGGCTACAGGGAGACCCTGTCTCAAAGAGAAGAAGAAAAAAAAAATAAAAAAAGAATGGCTATTAGCCGCCATGTGGGTGCTGGGAACCAGATCTGGGACTTCTGCAAGAGCAGTCGGTGTTCTTAACTGCTGTACCATTTGTCCTGCTCAATAGTTTAAATTCTTTATTACATTTTTCTGTCTATCTATCTATCTATCTATCTATCTATCTATCTATCTATCTACTTATCTTGTGTGTATGGGGGGATTCACGTGCCACATCTATCTATCATCTATCTATCTATCTATCTATCTATCTATCTATCTATCTATCTATCTATCTATCTATCTATCTATCTATCTATCTATCTATCTATCTATCTATCTATCTATCTATCTATCTATCTATCTATCTATCTATCTATCTATCTATCTATCTATCTATCTATCTAATCTATCTTTTGTGTATGGGAGGAGGATTCATGTACCACAGCATGCCTGTGCAAGCCAGAGGAAAACTTCAGGGAGTGTGTTCTCTCTTCCTACTATGAGGGTCCCGGGGATTGAACCCAGGTAGTCAGGCTTGGTGGCAGACACCTTTATCCACTTAGCCATCTGGCCACAGGCCCACCCATAGTTTTATAAAATGAAATAGAACAGTGTTTGGTCCGGTTTTCCAGTCCCTCCTCACAGTGAAACTGCATCCTTTTTGTGGTTCTTGCCACACCTGCACGATGCCTCTAATTCTGCTTCTTCATTTCCACAGCCCAGGATGGCATGATGGGTGAGTGTTCAGGGTGCTCCCCTCACTCCTCTGCCTCCCAATTCAGTCCCGTCACTATTCCTAGCTTTTCTGGAGAAACATTCCTTTCTCTTCTCTGCCTCCTTCTCTGGTAAAATGAGAGCCGACCAGCACTCTTGGCTTCTAAGGGAAATGGGAGTGAGGTGCAGTGGAATCCCTGAACTTGAAAGACAGAGGCAGGAGGATTTTGAGTTCAAGGCCAGTGTGGGCTTCATAGTGATATCTTATCTCAGAAAATGAAAAACCTGAGCTGGTAAGATGGTTCAGAGGGTGAAGGCACTTCCTATGCATGCCTGATGACCTGTGTTCAGTCCCTGGAATACACATGGTGTGTGCTGGGTGGCTTTGGTTGTCAACTTGACACACCTAGGTAGAAGGGGCCTCAATGGGGAATTGTCTCTATTGGACTGGCCTGTGGCCATGTCTGTGGGGCATTTTTTTGATTGTTGAGTAATGTGGAAGGGCCCAGCCTTAGAGCTCAAGGCAATTGTGGGTGGTGCCACCCCTGGGCGGGTGGTCCTGTGTTGTATAAGAAAGCAGGCTGAGCACAGGCTGGTAGAGCAAGCCAGTAAGCAGTGTTCCTCTCTGGTCTGTGCTTTAGCTTCTGCCTCCAGATTCCTGCCCTGAGTTCCTACCTTGGGCTCCCTCAATGATGAACTGTGACTTGGGAGATGCAAGCCAAATAAACTCCTCTGCAAGTTGGTATTGGTCAGAGTATTTTTATCACACCAATTGAAGGTAAACTAGAACATGGTGGAAGGAGAGAACCGACTCCTGACAGTTATATACAGACATACTACTATTACTATTAATAATAATAGTAATTAAAAAAATGAAAAAGAAAGTCAGATGTGTTGGCTTAGCCCTGTAACCTCAGCACTTGGGAGATTGGGGCAGGAGAACTGACATGGGTTTGAGGCCAGCCTGGGCTACATAATGAATTTCAGGACAACAGAATGAGACCTTTTCTCAAAAAAACCATACTAAACCAAACCAAATCACCCTGAAAAACCAGGTAGTGTTGACCTATAATAAGCCACAGCTACTTGGGAGGTTGAACCAGGATTCCAAGCCTGCTTGGGCTATGGAATGAGCTCAAGGCAACTTAGTGAGAACCTGCCTCAAAATAAAGTTTAAAAAGGGCTTAGGCTATAGCTCAGTGGAAGAGTGCTTGCCTAGCTTACTCAAGGCCCCGAGTTCCATTCTCAGCACTGCCAAAAATAGTTAAAAGAAAGAGAGGAGTCAGGACTAGTGGGCCCACATCTTACCTGTGTCCAGTTTCTACCGTCTGTTCCCAGTCCTGCCGAGCCAGGAACAGCTGCATCTTTAGTACTAAGCCAGGCAGGAAGTTCCCTGAGGCTGCAGTGACCTGATTCACCACCTCCAGGGCCCCTGAGAAGTTCTGCTGCATCATAAAATATGTTGCCTGTGGGGAACCAGAGAAAAGCGCCTCTATCAGTTGAGACAGATTTGGGTCAAGATCAAGGTCTGGGTCAGAATGGGTACTGCAGATCCCTCCAGCTGGGCCTGCAGCCTAAAGGCCCAGAGTTTAACTGTGGGGGACTATCAGTCAAGTAAATGCTTGGGAAACTGTTTATTCTTTGGGGCTGGGATCATGGCCTCTGCAGTCCAGTCATCATTACCCGGGGGTATCCTGCCAGGACCCCTGAGGGCCAGAAGAGGACTTCTAACAGGCTTAAGGGCTGGGAATGCAGTTCAGTTGGTAAAATGCCTGCCTAGTATGCATGAGCCCTGGAGTTCAATCCTCAGCACTGCATAAACCAGGCACTGCTGCAGCCCCTTGTAATACTAGCCCAGAAGGAAGAGACAGGAGCCCCAGAACAAGCTGGTTAGCAAGGCTAGCCATGTGGGTTAGCTCTGGGTTTGAGTGAGAGACTCTGCCTCAAAGAATAAGTTGGATAAGTGATCAAGGATAATTCCTGATCCCAACAATTCCTGATCCAACCTCCATCTTCTGTGTGCAAGGATACCTACCCCCACACATACCAGAAATGAAAAAGCAAGCAAGCAAGCAAGCAAGCAAGCAAGCAAGCAAGCAAGCAAAGGACTAGAAAGGCTGGCTAAGTGTAAATATTTTTTATGTGTGTATTTTGCCTGCATATATATGCAAGTGCGCCCGTGTTGTGTAATGCCCACAGAGGCCAGAAGAGGCTGTTGGATCCCCTGGAACTGGAGTTACAGGTGGTTGTGAGCTGCCTTGTGGGTGCTAGAAAGTGAATCTGGGTCCTCTACAAGAGCAGCCCTGGCTGGCTTAACCTAGATTTACAACAACCTTGCCTTAAGAGATGGCTGACTATTTGAATCAGGAAGACATGTTCACTGCAGCTCTTTCTAAGGTACAGTTGTAAGCGCTTCTGTTGGGGGACTCACACTGTGGCCATGCAGGACAGGACTGCCTTTCTGTGCAGGTTCAACATGGCATTTGCTCATGATACAATTTTATACCAGGAAGAAGGGACTAAAGCAAACACAGAACACACCATGGCAGCTGTCTCCAACCCTGCAGGGATGCTATATGTGGCTCTGTTCAGGTTTAGGAGCGCTTATGTCTGCTGGCACTGTGAGGGTCCCTCCAGGGATTGACCATAGCAAAGACATCTGTCTCAAACTGAGTCACACCCCTCTCTGGAGCAGCCAGAGAGTCTGATCACAGCCAGAGTGTCTAATCACATCAAGGCCCTCAGGGCTGGGGCTCCCCAGGGAGGCACCTGAGGCCTCTGCCTTGACTGTTCACAGCCCAACTCCTCTCCCCTCAGGTGTTGATCCTAGCTGTGCTGTCAGCTAAGCCTCCAGCAAAACCAAGTAATCTCCATGGCTACTGTAGCCCAGGACCCGACCCAAAGCATACCCAATCCAAGCTGAGAGAAAAGTGGGGAGGCACAGCCCAGAAATATTAGCGTGAAATGTTGAACTCCTGATACTCGTGCCTCCACTTCCCAGTGCTGGGATTACAGGCATGCGCCATCTTCCTTTCCTCCCCTTCCCTTCTCTGGCCTCCTCTATATTTTTATTTTATTTTACTTTATTTTATCTATTTTATTTTGTTTTATTTTATATTTTATTTTATTATTTGATTTTTGAGACAGGGCTCATTATATAACCCTGGCTGGCCTGGAACTTACTATGTAGACCAGGCTGGCCTTGAAGGCACAGAAATCTACTTGCCACTCAAGTGCTGGAACTGATGTGTGCACCACCACGTCCAGCCCCTCACCTCCGATTTTCTTCTCTCTCTCTCTGGTTTCCTCCAGTTGTGGGTCTCTATGTTAATCACCATCTGCTGCATGAGAACTATTTGGATGAGATTCACCCAGCCTTTCTCTCTCTCTCTCTCTCTCTCTCTCTCTCTCTCTCTCTCTCCTTTTCTCTCTCTCTCTCTCCCTCTCTCTCTCTCTCTCTCTCTCTCTCTCTCTCTCTCTCTCTCTGGCTTATTTTGAGACAAGGTCTAACTATATAGCCCTGGCTGGCCTGGAAATCACTACGTAGACCACACTGGCCTCCAATTCACAGAGCTCTGCCTGCCTTTGCCTTCTGAGTGCTACGATTAAAGAGGCTAGAGGGGAACAAGCCCTGGCATGACACCTATGGCCCAGGGTGAGCCCCCCCCATTCCTTCCTCTCCCTTTTTCTCTCTATCCTTTTTTCACTTTCTCTGTCTTCCAACTCCTTCCTCCTTTCCACTTGTTTTTAATGACAATGTAGTCATTTTCCAAAGAAAGCCTTTTTTAAAGAGAAGAAAGTAAGAGGTTTCTTTTCTCAAAGACTGAATCAATGCAGATCACAAAAGAAAAAGAAATTTCATTCAGGGGCTGGAGAGATGGCTCAGTGGTTAAGAACACTGGTTGTTCTTGCAGAAGACCTGGGTTCAAATCCCAGCACCCACATGGCAGCTAACAACTGTCTGTAACTCCAGTTCCAGGGGATCTGGCAGTCTCTTCTGTCCACGGGCATTGCACGACACAGGTGCACTTACATATGTACAGGCAATACATACATACACATAAAATAAAAATAATAAAATATTAAAAAAAGAAATTTCATTCAAATTAAGATCAGAAAATGCAAAATAGGTAAAACATCTGCCTCCCTTTTCTTAGGGCCACTAAGTAACTTTAACAAGCGGGAAGAGAAAGGGGGAAACAGGAGGAGTAAAGGGAAGAAGGGGAGAAAAGGGACGGAGTGACACCAAGGAGGGAGGCAGAGGAGAGTCCAGGCTGCAACCTGAGGTGACCTGAGGCAGAAGGAAGAAGATGCTGCTGGGCATATCAGCACTCCAGAGGTAGGGGCAGGAAGATCAGGAACTCAAGGACAGCCTTGGCTACATAATGAGTAAAAGGCATTCCTGGGCTACATGAGAGCCTGTCTCAAAAAACCAAATAGCGGCTGGGGATGTACCTCAGTGGTAGAGTGCATGCCTTGGGCTCAATTCCCTAGTACTTAAAACAAAACAGAATGAGAAAGATGCTTGCACAAAGTGGGAGGGGGGAAAGGGGGTAAGCTCTGGGCTGCTGTGTGACCCTGGACTGCTTGCTGACCCTTTCTGGGCCTTTGTGCCTCATCTCAGGTCAGCCTGAGTTCACCTAGCAGGTCTCTGGCTCCAGTGACTCAGTCAGAGACACTAAGGCCTCTCCCCCTCCCCTCTGCATACCTTGCCCATCAGCCCCAGCACATCTTTGGTGTCCTGAGTTCCTTGCTCCAGGTACTTGATGGATTTCTTCACTATGTGGGGCTTATTGCAGGTGAGGTCCACCCAGCCTTTAAGTATATAGCCCTGGCATGAGAAGAGGAGGAAAGGTCAAGTCCTTGGTACTGCTTGGCCTCTACCCAAGCCTGCTCATGTCCCAGCCTTTACCATTTCCACATCACTCAGTGGCAGCACATTGCACAGATCTCAGCTGTTCCTCTGCCAGGCCTCCCTGATCCCACCACCTGTAACATCCTGTTGCTCCTCACCTTTCAAACCAGGCCCTATTCATCTGATCAACTACTAGGTCATAACCCGGCCTGGGAAGCCCCTCCTGGAGGTAATCTCCTCTCCCTGCTTCCCCACAGCTATTTATTACTCCTTATTGAGGCCCTCTCCCCTTCCTCAGTCTGGCCTGCTTACTTTACATGGGGTCAAGTGATAATACCAGGGCATGGGTCAGGCCATTCTTGATCTCTGCACTTCTCCATTAGGCACTCAGCCCCTCCTAGTTATGAGGAAGGCCAGGCCTGGGAAGCAGCACTGAAGGGCACTTGGGAGACACCTGCCTGCCCTGAAGCATCCCTTGATGGTCCAGTCCAGTGTTTCTCTTTTAACCCTGATCTCTCTCTTCAGGAGACAGTGCCTCCACCTCTAAGAGATGCTATTAATAACATCACAGATGTCTCATCTCAGCATATTGTGCACTATGGTTATCTGTCTTATATATAAATAAGGTTTCACCCCTCCTCAGGGGACAATGGGTACACTCTTGAAAACTGTTATCAGGCTTGTGGAGAATGCATGACCTGAAAAGGGCTTCCAACCCTACGATTAGGACCAACACACTGTATCTGTCACATGAAGCATGTGGGAGCCACCACTCCAACCCAGTAAGTCACTGGAGGGAGGGCAGGGCCCAGTGTGGACAGCTTGCTTAGATTTTTCCAAAGGACCAGGAAATCTGGATTTTTAGGTAGAAAACCTCCTGATATATTATCTGTTTTATTTCCATTTATTTATTTCCTTTTTTCTGTTTTTTATTTTTATGTATTTATTTTTTGAGATAGGGTCTCACCATGTAGCACTGGCTGGCCTAGAACATGCTATGTAGACCAGGCTGGCCTTGAATTCACAGAGATTTGCCTGCCTCTGCCTTCCAAGTGCTGGGAGCCCAGCTCTTCTTTCTTTTTGGGACAAGGTCTTTGCCCAGGAGCCCAGTCTGTTCTCTCAGCCTCTCAAGTACTAGGATGACAGGCATGCCCACTTTAAATTTTCTGATTTAAAAAAAGGATTTTGTTTTTATTTCTAATTATGTATATATGTATCTGTGGGTTTGTGCATATGAGTGAAGTGTCTGTGGAAGTAAAAAGAGGGCATCGGATCCCCTGGAGCTGAAGTTATAGACAGTTATAAAGCATTCAATAAGGGTACTGGGAATCAGAATCTGGACCTCTGCAAGAGTAGTAAGTGCTCTTAACTGCTGAACAATCTCTCTAGCCCCCAAATCTTCTGATTAAAATTTTAAAACTTTATCTATTAATTTAGTGTGTATATGTGTATCTGTGTCTCTGTACATGCGTGCCTGTGTGTGTATGTGCGTGTGCGTGCGTGCATGTGTGTGTGTGTGTGTGTGTGTGTGTGTGTGTGTGTGTGTGTGTGCAAGTACTCCACTGTGTGGGTTCTGGGAATTGAATTCAGATCATCAGGTTTGGCAGCAAACACCTTTACCCACTGAGTCATATTTTCATTCTAATATTCTGATTTCTAAATGTCACTAGTTAAGTAAAGATGTTTAAAAAATATAGCTTGGGAGATGGGAATACATGGTAGAGTGTCTATCTAGCATGCAGAAAGACTTGGGTTTGATCCCTAGCACCACATAAAACTGGGCATGGTGGTATATGCCTGTAATCCCAGCACTCAGGAGGTAGAGGTGGAAGGATTAGAAGTTCAAGGCCATCCTTGGCTACAACCTGGGCCACTGTAGAATTCAGTCCTCCGAGTATAAAAGCCATTACCATCTTTACCAAAATCAGCTGTGACTACTCACAAGCACACCTCAGATCAGTGCCCCTGTTGACCAATCCCTCACAGGAGAGATTGGGGAGGATCATTAGATCCTAACCTGAGATGTCAGCCCTTCCCTCCTGCATCTCATTGCCAACTCCATATAACTCTGATCTAACTGCATGTGGCAAGGTGCTAGGTAGAGGGCTAACTGCAGGAGGGACTCCATCTGTGCAGCTATGGGGAGGCCATTATCTCTTCCAGGGTGAGGCCTGGTGGTGGTAAAACTGTTTAGGGTCACCCATGCTCTGTAAGAAAGCCCAGTAGACTCACTGGCCTACCAAATTGGACTTTAGTGGTGCCTTATTAGGGTGAATAGGTGTTTGTTCACATCTCTCAAGAAAAGTTCATGCAACAGACTATGACGAAAGAAATAGAGAGTGGGCCACAGAAAACTAGTCTAGAGATGGGACCCTGTAGACAAATGCCGATGTGTTTTCAGACAACATGGGCGGCATGGCTGAAGTCTAGTGCCTGGGTGGGGCCCCAGTTCCAGAGCCCTCTGGGAGTGATGGGCCATCCTGCTACGATGTCTGGATGCTGCTTTTCTCGGCTCTGGCCCCAAGATGCTCATGGTGGGTACCTCTCTGGAGCCACTGCAGACCTTCAGCATGTGATCAACATATTCCCTGGCTTTGTCGTGGTGGCCTATGAGCCAGAAGAACAGGCTGGCGTAGTACAGGGCAGTGTCACTGGCTGTCTTGCGGATTTCCTTTAAGCTGCTCTCCAGCTCCTGGACAGCTTCTCCATCTAAATCCAGGAGAGGAAGAAGAGGCCAAGTTAGGACAAGGAGGTTTGTGCCTAAGGCCACCACGGGCCTGGGAAGACTGCATATATTGGCCCTCTCTGCATATATATGGCTGTCTAAGGGCCATCCCAGGACCTGGACACCAGCAACATCTGCCCAGGACACCACAGGAGTTGCACACACCTGAACTCAGTTTGCCGTTTGGGATATACTTTTTATTCCCTCTATGTCCATCAGTATGCTGAGCAGGCAGACTGGACCTGAACCCCCTGACTGAGGCCCACTGCCTATCCTGAGCCTACAGTCTGTCTTAGCACCTCTCTTTGACTTTTTAGAGACCTGAGATTTGGGGCATGGTTATTTATAATGGCTTCATTAAAAAATTTTTAAATTTATTTTTATTTTATGTATACAAGTGTTTTGCCTGCATGTATATACGTGTACCCGTGTCATGCAATGCCAGCAGATGCCAGAAAAGGGCATTGGATGAGCTGGAACTGGAGTTATGATGGTTGAGAGCTACCATGTGGGTGCTGGGAACCAAGCCAGGGCCTTTGCAAGGGCAACCAGTGCTCTTAACCACTGAGACATCTCTGTAGCCCTGATGGCTTGATTTTTTTCGACAGTATCTTGGTGTGGAAATGAAGGGTGTTTCCTGAAGGTTTTGTTTGTTGTTTTGTGAGATAGGGTTTCACTATGCAGCCCCAGCTGGCCTGGAATTTGCTATGTAGACCAGGCTGGCCTTGATCTCACAGAGACTCACATGCTTCTACCTCCCGAGTGCTGGGGTTAAAGCTGTGCACCACCCCCCTACCTTGAGTCTGGAATGAAACACCTTCTGTCATACTGTCTGCCTGCTTCACCCTCAGCTGGATGCAGGCATAAGTTTTCTCTGAGGCCTCTGGGTATGGAAGTTAGGGGAGAAAGCAGCTGCTTGTTTTGGCTGGCAACATTGATCCAAGTCACCTGTGCATACACCCTTCCTTCAGCATCCCTTGAAGGGCTGTGTCTGCAGTGGCATTTTCTCCCCCCCTGGGTCCAGCCTGCTATGTGTGGCTACACTCACCAATGGTGTCACAGCGTTTGTGAGCATAAAGCAGGGCGATGACAGAGCATAGACACATGTCTGGGTAGCTCTTGATGCTCTCCAGCTCACTGATGGCATCGTGGATACGCTCTGTAAAGAAAGCACATGATTTGGGTTGCAGGCTCTAGACAGACACACGGACCCTGTGTGTACATGTGTCAGGGCCAGAGGACAACCTCAGGTCTTGTTCTTCAGGCACCATCCACCTCGTTTGTTAATATTTAATTATTACTTTTTTTTTTTTTTGGTCTTTTTGAGACAGGGTCTCCCTGTAGCCCAAGCTGTCCTGGAACTCACTATGTAGACCAGGCTGACCTTGAACTCACAGAGATCCACCTGCCTCTGCCTCCCAAGTGCTGGGACTACAGGCGTGTGCTACCACGCCTGGCTTAATTATTACTTTTATGTGTATGTGTGTGCCTGAGTGAGTGTATGTGTACTACCTGCATACAGGAGCCTGGTGAGGCCAGAAAAGGCAACAGATCCCATGGAACTGGAGTTCCAGGCAGTTATGAGCCACCATGTGGGTGTTGGGATCTGAACTCAGGTCTTTGGCAAGAGCAGCAAGTGCTTTTTAACCATTGAACCATCTCTCTAGCCCCCATCCACCTTGCTTGTTGAGATAGCTTGCTTGGCCTGAAACTTGCCAAGCAGACTAGACTGGCTGGCGAGTGAGCCCCAGAGATTTGCCAGTCTCCACCTTCCTGCACCAGGTTTGCACCAGCCATCATGTCTGTTTTTTTTTTTTTTTTTTTTTTTTTTTTTTGAGACAGGGTCTCCCTGTAGCCCTCAGCTGGCTGGAACTCGCTTTGTAGACTAGGCTGGCCTTGAACTCACAGAGATCCACCTGCCTCTGCCTCCTGAGTGCTGGGACTAAAGGTGTGCACCACCACACCCAGCTTGTTTTTCCGTTTTTTTAATATGGGTTGTGGAGATCAAATTGAGGTCCTTGTGCTTACAAGACAAGTACTTTACCAACTGAGTCATCTTAGCATCTGTTTTTTTTTGAAAATATTTTATTTATTATGTGTATGGGTGTATTGCCTGCATGTATGTAAGTGTACATGTGTCCTGCAGTGCCCACAGAGGTAAGAAGAGGGCATCAGATCCCCTGTAACTGGAGTTACAGACAGTTGTCAGCCACCATGTGGGTACTGGAACTCACACCCCAGTCCTCGGCAAGAGCAGGCAGTGCTCTTAACTGCTGAGCCATCTCTCCAGCCCCATCGTTTATTTTTTTTTAAAGATTTATTTTATAGACCGGGTATGGTGATACATGCCTTTAATTCCAGGACTTGGGAGACAGAGGCAGACAGAGATGTCTGTGAGATTGAGGCTAGCCTGGTGAGTTCCAGGCCAGCTAGGGCTACAAGCAGACCCTGTCTCAAGAAAAAAAAAGATTTTATTTTATTTTTTGTCTTTTTGAGACAGAGTCTCCCTGTAGCCCCAGCTGTCCTGGAACTCACTATGTAGACCAGGCTGGCCTTGAACTCACAGAGATCTGCCTGCCTCTGCCTCCCAAGGCTGGGACTACAGGTGTGCGCCACCACGTCCGGCTAAGATTTTATTTTTAATTACATGTATGTGTACGTGTGTTTGTGTGTGGGTATGTGTATTTGAGTGTAGGTGCCTGTGGAAGTCAGAAGAGGGAGTCAGATCCTCCAGAGCAGGAGTTACAGGGAGTTGTGAGTCACCTGATACAGGCGCTGGGAACTGAACTTGGTCCTCTGGAGAACTAGGAGGAGCTCTTAACTCCTGAATCATCTCTCCGGCCTAGTTTTTCCTTTCCTCTTTCCCCTTTCCTTTCCTGGACTGGGTCTCATGTATCCCAGGGTGGCTTCAAGCTTACTGTTTAGCTGGGGATGACTGAAGCCTGCTGTCCTGGCCTTACTCTAACAGCTGCAGTAGGTGAGGGCCCAGGGTCAGCTGGAGACACTTCTCACTCGAGGCCACTGCTGGCTGACCTTCCTGGTCTTCCACACCCTCATACCTACAGCTCAGAGAAGAAAGGCCTCCACTCCTGGCTGGAAGAGCCCAGCAAGGATAACCCAGAATTCCTGATCCTCTGTCTCTACCTTCCAAGTGCTGGGATGACAGATGTGTACCATCACACCTGGCTGAGTCTTAGAACTGAGAGGTATGTCTGAAGGTATGCCTGGGGATCCTAAAGAGGCTAGGGTCAGTTCTGAAGAGGGACAGATATTCCCAGCCAATTGATCAAGAGCCACTAATTACATTTATCCCTCATGTCCCCAACATTGGCCATAGGCAGCTCAGACAGCTCTTAGCCTAAGATACCCTGTGATGTTAGCATGTAGCTCTTATGTAAGCCCCACCCCCGTCTTACATTGACATCATGCCTGCCTATAACCATACCTCCCTCTTCCTTCTTTGGTGCAGAGTCAGCTCTCAGGTCCCAAGCCTGGGATGACTTCAAGAGTCATGTAGCCCTCTCTCCAACCACTGATTTTGCTTAGGGAAACTGAGGCACACAGGGATAGTAGCTCTCTAAGATCTCCAAAGTTAACTCAATACAAAGTACACAGGCTTCTGTGGATTGACCTGGGAATCTGTAGTCAGTGTGAGACCATTTCCATGGGAACTTAGTTAGAAGTAGGCATTCAGATATGAACAAAGGGTTAGGACTGAGGTGGTACCTGGGGTCAAAATGCCCGCAGTTCCAGTCCTTACCTTCCCCGAGGATTCCAAATGCTTTAAAGAACTGTAACACAGGGTCATTGCTGAATCTCTCCAGGCCCGTGCTCGCAGCCTGCTGCACGTGGTGGAAGTACTTTTCCTGGCTGTAGTAGATAATCCCAGCCTGTGAGGAAGACACAGTTGTAATAGCCCCAGCCCTTCAGGTCTCTACTCTGACCCTGATGGAATGAGACTCACTGCGTTGATCTTTCCCTGCTCCCTCTCAGTTCTGTCAAGGGAAACTGCCCTGGGAGCAGCTCCAGGCAGTGTTTCTAGGACAGAGTTTGCAAGAGTTTGGGGGATGGCCAACAGATTCTGATTAAAACATGATGTAGGGGCTGGAGAGATGGCTCAGTGGTTAAGAGCACTGACTGCTTTTGTAGAGGACCCAGGTTCGGTTCCCAGCACCCACATGGCAGCTAACAACTGTCTGTAACTCCAGTTCCAGGGAATCTGACACCCTCTTCTGACCTCTCAGGCATTGCACAATATAAGTACACTTACATGAATGCAGGCAATACACTCATACACATAAAATGAAAATAATAAAAAGAAAAAAAAATGACTAGGTGGGCTGGAGAGATGGCTCAGCAGTTAAGAGCACTGACTGCTCTGGCAGCAGACCCAGGTTCGATTCCCAGCACCCACATGGTGGCCAACAACTGTCCTACCTCCAGTTCTAGGGGATCCAACACCCTCTTCTGACTTCTGCGGCATTGCACGATATGGGTGCAGTTACATACATGCAGGCAATACACTCATACACATAAAATAAAAAACAGAAAAACGGTGGTTGTACACACCTTTAATCCCAGCACTTGGGAAGCAGAGGCAGGTGGATCTCTGTGAGGTGGAGGCAGCCTGGTCTACATAGCCAGTTCCAGGACAGCTAGAGCTACAGGGAGACCCTGTCTCAGAAAAGACCCCCCCCCAGAATATTTTTTAAAAATATGACATGACTTTCAATTCAGCCTTTTTTTTTTCTTTTTGTCAGAGGGGACTAAGGAGGAGTGAGGACCAACAATCAGAACACTTGCGACAAGCTAGGGGCTGTTATTGGGACTTTCTATGCATCTTCCTGCATGTGATCCTCTCACATTTTTCACAGGTGATAAGGCTCAGCAGATCACAAAATCATCGTGGCTGACGTTTCAAAGTGAAACCTTCCCTAAGGTTTGTGGCTGTTGAGTTGGGGATAACTGTCGTTGTATTGTAAAAGCCTCAAATCTAGTTGAAAGAGCCCAGACATCATCTTATTTATTTATTTTTATTTTATGAGTGTTTCGTGGGCATGGATGTAAATGTACCATGTGTGCAATGCCTGCAGAGGTCAGAAGAGGGTATCATATCCCCTGGAACTGGAGTTACAGATGGTTGTGAGGTGTCATGTGGTCATGTGGGTGCTTGGAATTGAATCTGGGTCCTCTGGAAGAATAGTAAGTGCTCTTAACTCCTAATCCTAAATCATTTCTCCAGTTCCCTAGACATCCTTTTTCTTTCTCTCCCTTTCTCCCTTTTTCTTTCTCTTTTTCTTTTTTCTTTCTTTCTTTCTTTCTTTTCTTTCTTTCTTTCCTCTTTCTCTTTTGCTCTCCTCCTCCTCTCCTCCCCCCCCCTCTCTTGTCTTCTCTTCTCTTTTCTTTTTTGTCTTTTTGAGACAGTGTCTCCCTGAAGCCTCAGCTGGCCTGGAACTTACCATATAGACCAGGCTGGCCTCTATCTATCTCACAGAGATATACCTGCTTCTGCCTCCCCAGTGCAGGGATTAAAGGTGTGCGCCACCACACAGGCCCCAGACATCATTTTAAGGGTAATAAACAAGAAGCTGTTGAAATGGCTTTAAACAGGGTAGGGATAGTTTTTTTCAGATTTTTTGTTTGTTTTTGGCAGGGTTTCTATCCTAAGTTGGCCTCAAACTCATTTTGGAGCCAAGGATGACCTTGAACTTCTGATCCTCCTGCCTCCACTACCCAACTACTAGGATCCATGTGTACCTGTTTTTGTTTTTTTTTTTGTTTTGTTTTTTTGTCTTTTTGAGACAGGGTCTCCCTGTAGCCCCAGCCTGTAGACCAGGCTGGCCTTGAACTCACAGAGATCCACCTGGCTCTGCCTCCCAAGTGCTGGGATTAAAAGCATGAGCCACCATGCCCAGCTTCATGCCTGGTATTGTACTGTAATGGGAACCCAGGGCTTGGTGTCTGCTAGGAAAGCACTCTGCCAATTGAACTACATACCCAGCCACCTCAATTGTATAGTTTTTGTAAAAACTACTCAGGCTGTTGCGTGTGGATGGTGGCAGGCAGTAATGTGGGCAAACAGAACTGAAGCAGAGTATCCAGACTCAGCGGAACTGGTCACAAGTATTTGGGGGCGACACGGTGGCCCTGGCCTAGGAAATAAGTGGCTGTACACTGGAACTGACACTTGTTGCTAGGACTGGGAGGTGGGTATGGAAAAGAGTTAAATAAGGCTGAGGAGAGACAGGGTCACAGAAGAGTCTCAGCCAGGGGTAGAGGTTAAGATGAAGAGATGCCAAAATAATGGACATGGGATGATTTACTTTAGGGGTGTGAGGGAGGCAGGATTAGATCAGGATACTAATTTGGGGCTGAGGTCCAGAGGGTACCGGAAGTGATGCACTGTCAAGAAGAGCGAGGGAACATAAAGCAGGACCTACCGAAGCTACCAGAATGCGTGGTGGCCAGAGGGCAGAAGTGGCTTGAGGGATGCGGGGTGGGGGAGTCAGACAGAGGTGGCTCAGGGCAGAATGGCCAGAGAACAGAGGTGGCCCAGGCAGAGGTGGCCTAGGCAGAGGTGGCCGGAGAGCAGAGGTGGCCCAGGCAGCCCAGCGCAGCAGACCAGCGGTCAGCAGTGTCACGCACCATGAGGGAGGAGTCATCGCTGTTCATCTTCCGGCTCTGACGCCTCCGGGGTCAGGTGCGGCCCTGAGGAGCGGGATTCCCAGCTCTGGTCGATCAACTAGAAGCCCGAAGTTCGAGGCGCGCGCGTCCTTGACGACCGGGCAGCCAGTCAGTTGCTAAGAGCGATGACGTCAGGAGTGGGCATGGCGCTTCATCCACGTGACCAGGCGCTCCCAGAAGAGCGCAGAACCCAGAGCGCCCCTGTGAGCCACGGCCTGCGGCCTGCCTGGTGGGCGCCGGGTCGGGGCTGCGGTGCGGTGCAGCGCCACGCAGAGTCATGGGGCTGGGCGCCAGTGCGGAGCAGCCTGCGGGCGGCGCGGAGGGTTTCCACCTGCACGGGGTGAGTGGGCGGTGATCGTGAGCATGATCTTGGCGGTTGCTGCTGCGCTGCTCCGACTGCCAGCTGTGCAGGAAGCCGGACTCTTCCTGGTTGCGCCTTCCCGGTGGCGCGCTTCCCGGGTGCAGGACGCGCAGCTCCAGTCGTGGCCACGGGGCTGCCAGTAGCGGCCCCCCCTGCATGGGGCTGGGGGACCTGTGGGGTATTTGGGGGTCGAGGACCTGTGTGAACCAGCCAGGAAAGTGGGGAACGGGAGGCCGGAATGACTCAAGTCATTGGGTCGGGAAGCGTTGGGACCCAGTGGAACACCGCCGAGACCTGGGTGAGGCCCTATGGCGTCGCATGCGAGGAGGTGTGGACGAACAGGCCGCTGGGAAGTAGAGAAGGAGTCGGGGCTTTGGTCTGGTTGATAAAGAGACCAGGACTTGGGGGTTGGGGCCCTAATGCAGACAAAGGGGACAGTAAGGTCTTTGAACCCGGCTCCTCCACTTTTCCCCTTTGAAAAGTGAATAAATGCAGAGATGTGTGGAAGCAGGCAGTTTATCGTATTAGTGCTTGGCTATCTAGTGCTTTATTTTTGAGACGGGATCTTGCTATGTAGCTCAAACTCAGCATTCTCATCCGTAAGTGGTGGGATTAAAGGCTTGAACCAACATGCCAGGCTGGTCTTTTTTTTTTTTTTTTCCAGCTGTGCTGGAACTTGCTGTGTAGACCAGGCTGGCCTCCATATCACAGAGATCCTCCTACCTCTGCCTTTTGAGTGCTGGGATTAAAGACATGAACCACCAGGCCTGGTTTATTTGTTTTGTTCTTTGTTTTGTTGAGACAGAGTCTTACTATGTAGCCTTGGCTGACTTGGAGCTCACTAGGTAGACCAGGCTAACCTCAAACTCACATAAATCCACCTGCCTCTGACTCCGCAGTGCTGGGATTAAAGGCATAGGCCACCATGTCCTGCTTAGTCTATGAAAGGAAACCAGGGCTTAGAAGGGGTTTAGTTTCCTACAGGAAAGCCAGGCAGGCTCCTGGGATAGTGACAAGATTTGTGCTTGGGGCTGGGCTTTGACATGATCAGGCAGCAGATACTAGAATGCATACAGCCAGGGAGCTTTAAAGAACATATTATGGAGAAGACAAAGAAATTCAGGATATCAGAAATTCAGGCACAAGTTGGTCAGGGAGGTAATGGTGGGAGTGAAGGCAGGAAGGGCCTGTTGAAGAGGGACAGATTGCCCAGGTAAAAGGATCAGAACCCTACACAAAACACACAAATATGTGTGTATGCATGACTTAAAAGTTACTTTTAATTGTGTGTGTGTGTGTGTGTGTGTGCGCGCGCGCGCGCATGCGTGTTGAATAAGGGTGCCTGTGGAGGCCAGTGGTGTTGGATCCCCTGGAGATGGAGTTACAGGTGGTTGTGAGTCAATCTTCATGATTACTAGGAACTAAGATCCATCTCTCCAGCTCCCCTTTTAATGTTTTGTTTATTATTTTTATTTATTTTATGTGTATGAATGTATTGCATGCATGTGTGTAAGTGCATCTGTGTTGTGCAATGCCCATGGAGGTCAGAAGAGGGCATCAGATTCCCTGGAACTGGAGTTATGGATGGTTGTTAGCTGCCATGTGGGTGCTGGGAATTGAACCTAGGTAGGTCCTCTGCAGGAGCAGTCAGTGCTCTTAACTGCTGAGCCATCTCTCCAGCCCCTTGTTTTGTTTTTTTAAAGATAGGATCACATGTAGCCAGGGATTACTTTGAACTCATCTTCCTAGCTCTATTTCCCAAGCACCAGGGTTACAGGTTTCTACCACTGTACCCTGTTACAGACTTTTTTTTTTTTTGTCTTTTTGAAGCAGGGTCTCCCTGTAGCCCCAGCTGCTGTGGAACTCACTATGTAGACCAGGCTGGCCTTGAACTCACAGAGATCCGCCTGCCTCTGCCTCCCAAGTGCTGTGTGGCAAACAGAGCTCTAAGCATTAGAGATAATACAGTGTGTAGAATACTTATATTTGAAAGCCAAATGGAGAGAAGGAAGGCCATAAAGAAAAATAGGGAATAGAGTATGATGGTTCATGCCTGTAATCAGAGGTGAAGGCAGGAGAATTGTAGGTTTGAGTCCAGTCTGTGTTATACATCAAGACTTTATCTCAAAAATACATACACAGGGTGCTGAAGAGATGGCTCAGCAGTTAAGAGCTCTTGCTGCTGCAGGGGACCCAGAGCTCAGTTCCCAGCATCCATATTGGATGGCTTACCTGTAACTCCAGCTTCAAGGGTTCTGACATCCTCTTCTGGCCTCTGCAGGCATCTGTGCGTACACACACACACACACACACACACACACACACACACACGCACACATGCACACACATTAAACTAGCTGGTCATGGTGGCACATGCTTTTAGTTCCAGCACTCAGGAGGTAGAGGCAGGTGGATCTGTGAGATAGAGACCAACCAGGTCTACATATCAAGTTCAAGGACAGCTGGGGCTACGGGGAGACCTTGTCTCAGAAAACAAAACAGAAAACCAAAAGTAAAAACAATAAATCTTGCCCACACAAATACATGGTTGTGGTAATAATTGCTAGTGATAAAAATGAAGCAGGTTAAGGGGCTGAAGTGGTGCCCTGGATGGACTGGTCAGGAGACATGTCTGATCAACATTAGAGCATATGCCTCTGCAGGAAGCAAACAGTGAGCTGCACAGACACAGCAGAAGGCTCAGCAGAGGCTGTGGTGGTTTGGGCCTACATGTCAGTCGGAGTGCTGGGAGGTAGAGTTGGTGTGTGTGGCGGATGAGGCCAGAGGCCGAAGTGGGTGGGCCATAGTGCTGTTCTAAAGATTTGGAGAGCTCATTTGGTTTTTGGTTTTGTGGTGCTGGGGATCAAACCCAGGACCTAATGAATCCTAGGCATGTACCCTATCACTGAGCTCCAGCCCCAAGTTCTGAGGCTTGGAATTGTATTCTGAAATGTGGAGCTATTTATTGGAAGGATGACATGATTTATTTGTCTATCTGCCTCTCTCTCTCTCTCATATGTATATATGTATATATCTATGTATATATACTTTTTTTGGTTTTATTTTATTTTTGAGACAGGGTCTCCCTGTAGCCCCAGTTGACCTAGAACTTACTATGTGAACTAGGCCAGCCTCAATCTCACAGATCCATTTGGCTATAATTTTAAAGGGCTTTTTACATTTATTATTTTTGTATCTACACACACATATGCATATGTGAGATGGCATAAGTATGGAAGTCTGGGACAGCTTGTGGGAGCTGGTTCTCTCCTCCCACTGGCCTTTACCTGCTGAGCCATCTTGCTGCTCCCCCATCTACTTATATTTATATTTTGTTATTTATTTTTAAAGATTCATTTTTCATTCATATGTACATGTGTTTACCTGTCTGAAGGTGTACCACATGCATGCATTACCCGTAGAGTCCAGAAGAGGGCATCGGATCCTCTGGAACCGGAGTTATAGGTGGTTGTGAGCTGTCGTATGGGTGCTGGGAACCAAACACAGGTCCTCTGGAAGGCAGTAAATGCTCTTGATTGCTGAGCCATTTCTCCAGCCCCTACTTATATTTTTAAAACCAAAGATCAAGGGAGCTGCATTCTGTGAATATTGACATTTCTGACATTCCCAGGCAAATTGGGAACATCCTTCCCCTCAGTAAGCATGCAGTGGTAGAGGAGTCACACACACAGAAGACTATTGTGCGTTTTTCCTAGGGTTGGATGACTTAAGTTACTCAGTCCTTTTCCTCATTTGTAAATTGGGACAGTGGAAGGGCCCACAGATGACTTAAAGCATGTGACATATCCCTGGATGACCAGCCAACCAGCACCTCTTGGGTTTAGTGTCTATTTCCTTTCACAGGGTCCTTGGTTGGGCGATAGGGTGGGGTATTAGGACAAGCCCTCCCTGCATGATGTAGGGCTTTGGGGTGGGGTGTGATGGGAGATGTCAGGGAGAACAGGATGGAGGGGCATCAGGTTTTGCAGGAAGGGAGGGCAATGGACAGCGACCTAGATCATTTCATCATGACGCCCTAGTGAGCAGTGGCAAAGTCCAGGGTGAGGGAAGTGAAGGGTAGCAGATGACAGGGCCACAGGTGTGAGTGGGTAGAGGTACTAGGTGGGCAGAGGTCCGAGCCCCCAGACCTCATTAATGATGGCAGGCAGCTAAGGAGGATGATGGCGCCTCTCTCTTAGGAGCAGTGGCCTGACCTGAGGGGGTTGGGATGGTTTGGAAGTGGCCCTGCTTAGGGAGAAACCCCTGCACCTTCCAAACTAGTCCAGTCCTATTTTCAAAAGCTCCTAGAGGGATAGAGGGCAGATCTGAGTTCCCCTGCAGCATCCCCAGAGAGATAGCAGGGCAGGACTGAGAGCTCCCCTGAAGCAGGTCTGGGAACAGCTTGCCTTTGGGGCTAAGCCAACAACCAACATGGGCCCATTCCCATTGCAGGCTGTGGCAGCTGTCAGAAGTGGCAATCAGAGACCCTCAGTTGGTGCTGCTCCCAGAAGGGAGTCATTGTGCCTGGGACAAACTAGCCTTGAACCAGAGGTGCCTTCAGCACTTTGTTCTCAGCAGGCTCCCTGAGAACTCTCCTTCAGCTTGGGGAATTCAAGGCCAACACTGAGAACCTGAGGTCACATGAGTCCTGTGCCCTGCCACCTGGGGCCTGGCTGATGCCTGACCCAAGAGGTCATCAAGTGTCCATGAAGACCTGAGCCAGAAGTCCAGGTGCATCTTCAGGGCCCAGGGCCTGGGGACAAAGGTTGCATTGTTTGAGCAAGGCTCTATGTATGGGGCTTGGAAATAGGTTCCTGGTACTGCCTGGAAGGCCTGGTTGTGCTTTGGGGACAGCAGCGAGCTGGGAATTGAGAGTGGCAGGGAGCATCTGGAGGGGTGGGGAGTACCCAGGTCTGGCCTGGGCCTGCATCACCCAGGGCTTCACTTGGTGGCTAGGGTGAAGCTGAGCTCCTACAGAGGCCATTGTTACCCCTGGGGTCTATACTCCTTCACCAACAGGCTGTCACTGCCTGCTTGACTGAGCCTGGGCCAGCCATTCAGGGCCTGGGCAGCCATATAGGGCCTGGGCCATCCAGGCTCTAGCCACAGGCTGCTTTCTCCACTCCCTTTTTATGCCTTCAGCCTGGTTGTAGCGCTCCTGCATACTGGGACTTGCCTAGCCAACTTCTCTGGCTTCCCAGCCAGCTCTGGCCCAGATTTTGGGAGGCAGTATTCACCAAGGTGTCCTCAAGCCTCCCAGGGCTGTGTGAGTGCTTTCTGGAAGGATCTGTGTGTCATGATCAGGCAAAGAACCATTTTCCCATGAAAAAATGTGTGCCCAGGAAGGTAGTTGAGCAGGGAGAGGGAATGACTCTTGACAATGGCCAGAGCAGTTTGCGCAGGTATATGTCTTTTCCACGGGTCCAGGATGGGTCCAGGACTTGATGGTGGGGCATCTTGAGCCATGACTGGCCTCTCCTGTGTGACAGGTACAGGAGAACTCCCCAGCCCAGCAGGCAGGTCTGGAGCCTTACTTTGACTTCATCATCACCATCGGGCATTCAAGGCTGGTGAGGATCCCCACACCCCTCTGCTGTTATACCTGTGTCCCTCTGTCCCCACAGGATGTCCTAGGCCTGTTTCTGCCACCCTTTTCTTCCTGGGTGGACCAGGGTCAGGGACTTTTGGAGGTGGCCACTAGGTCTAAGAGGCCTGCCCCTCAAGGCATATGAGGACTTTGGATATGGGCCCAAGAAGCTTGCTGCCTGCTTTGTTGTGACTTCTGGCAGGCTTAGGAGGCAGTGCTTGGTAGATCTTGGGGTGCCTGGAGCTGGGTAGTGGTGGTGAGGGATGTGTTCACAGTAAAATGGCTGGAGGCCTAAACCTAGCCCAGGAAGCTGGGCCCAGCACTGCTTCAGCTCATCTCCACACCACGCCCTCGCTGCCTCTCAGGCCCTGACCAGCCCGAGGGGTCTGGCCCAGGGGTGGGAGGTCTCAGGTCCCTGCCCCTGCAGAATAAGGAGAATGACACGCTGAAAGCACTATTGAAGGCCAACGTGGAGAAGCCGGTGAAACTGGAAGTATTCAACATGAAGACCATGAAGGTTCGAGAGGTGGAGGTGGTACCCAGCAACATGTGGGGTGGCCAGGGCCTGCTGGGTGCCAGTGTGCGCTTCTGCAGCTTCCGCAGGGCCAGCGAGCACGTGTGGCACGTGCTGGTGAGTACCAGCAGGGTGTGGGAGAGTACATGTGGGGCCTGTTGACTGGGCAGGTCAGGGTGGGGCTGGGGCGTTCAGGAGCAGAATGAATGGCCAGGGCTATGGGTGGGGCAGGGAGCAGAGGGCAGTGCAATGGGTTATTCAAGGATTTGAAGAATTGAATTTTGTTCAGTGTTAGGAGAGGGCAGCTCATTAGTACTTTTTGGTAGCCGTCTGACCTTGGGCACTCTTAACTTTGTACCTAAGTTTCTTATTTTGAAAGGTGGGTCACCACGTGCTGCCAGAACACTACTGTTGTTAGTAATGTCTCTCCAGGTAGATAGTTACATGTCTGTGCTAGTTTCTCTGTCCTATTGCTATAAAATGGGTGCATAAGTGAACCTCAGTGACTGAGCTGACCCAGATGTCAAGTGTCAGGTCACCCATGCACACCTGCCTGACACCGTGTTCATTGATGAATCTCAAGTTCTCAGATGCTCAGTTCTATGGCTCGAGGAGAGTGCACCGAGCTGGAAGTTGGCTGATTTGGGTTCTGGGTGACTATCGCCCACTGACTTCTTTGGGGAGTCTGTAGTTGGGCTGCAAAGGCTTGCCCGTGAGTAAAATGGGCTGACAATGCCGATTGTGTACATGTCCCAGGGAGCATAGGTGTTCAGGATCCATCCGTCAGAGGGGTGTCCAACCTCTTGGCTTCTCTGGGCCACAGTGGATGAAGAATTGTCTTGGGCCACACATTCCAGGGGTGAGCTCGTGAGCTGCGGGTTGTGAAGGCATTTATGTTTATGTTGCATGATATTCCAGCATGATGTCATTTACAAACTTCATTCTTGAGACTCATACAGTCTAGTCACACACACCAAAAAATAGTCTCAATGCTTTATTTTTATTTTAAAAAATTAAATAGGTGGGACATGATGGCACATGCCTTTAATCCCAGCACTCAGGAGGCAGAGGCAGGTGGATCTCTGTGAGTTCGAGGCCAGCCTGGTCTACATAGTGAATTCCAGGCCAGCTGGAACTACACAGAGACCCTGTCTCAAAAAAGACCAAAAAGAAAAAAAATTAGAAATAATTTTTTGTATTTTATGTGTGTGTTTTGCTTGCATGTAAGTATACCACATACATCTGCCTGTGGAGGCCAGAAGAGGGTGTTGGATCCCCTGGAGCTGAAGTTACCCATTTGGGTGCTGGGAACTGAACTCATGAACTCAAGTCCTCTGCAAGAGCAACTGGTACTCTTAACTGCTGAGCCAGCTTTCCAGACCCCTTAAATATAATATAATATAATATAATATAATATAATATAATATAATATTTTATTTTTTTGTCTTTTTGAGACAGGGTCTCCCTGTAGCCCCAGCTGGCTTGGAACTTACTATGTAGACCAGGCTGGCCTCAAACTAGAGATCCACCTGCCTCTGCCTCCCAAGTGCTAAGACTAAAGGTGTGCACCATCATGCCCAACTCCCTTTAAATTTTTTTGAATTACATTTATTTATTTTGTGTGCATGTGTGTGCCATAGCACATGTGTGGTGGTCAGGGGGCTACTTGTGGAGGTTGATTCTCTCCTTCCACCATGTGGATTTCGGGGATCAAATTCAGGTCAGGTTTGGCATCCTTTACCCACTAATCCGTCTTGCAAGCCCTGTGCCTGCCTCTCTCTCTCTCTCTCTCTCTCTCTCTCGTCTTTTTGAGACAGGGTCTCTATGTAGACCCAGCTGCCCAGCTGGCCTAGAACTCACTTTGTAGACCAGGCTGGCCTTGAACTCACAAAGATTCGCCTGCCTCTGCCTCTAAAGCACTGGGATTAAAGGTGTACGCCACCATGCCCGCCTTCTCTCTTTTTAAGTGTGCATGTGTGCGTGCATGTGTGTGTGTGTGTGTTGTGTGCACATGTTTGTGGAGGCCAGGTGTCATCATCAGGCATGTTGTCTACCTCCTTTGAGACAGGCTCTCTCATTGGCCTGAGCTCACCAATTAGTCTAGACTAGCTAGCCAACAAGCCCCAGGGATCTATCTACCTGTTTCTACCTCTCTAGCACTAGGATTACAAATACATAGCACTTGGGTTCTGGGGGTTGAGCTCAGATAAAGGCAAGCACTTTACTGATGGAGCCATCCCCTCAGCTCCTTGTAATATTTTAATTAAGTTTACAATTTTGTGTTGGGCTGTATTCATAGGTATTCTGGGCCATGGACACCCCTGTGTGCCTAGAGCTTTCCCAGGAGAAAGAACCCTTCTATTTTGCTTATTGTCCCTGCTTCTAGCCCCCACCCAGGGTCCTCAGGCATGTACCTGGGATGCAACAAGGCAATTGGATGTTGAATGATGGCCAGGGTGTGGTTTTCTTTTTATTTTACGTGTGTGTGTGTGTGTGTGTGTGTGTGTGTGTAGGTCAGAGGACAACTTGTGGGATTGGTTCTGTCCTACCATGTAGGTTTTGTTGAACGATCTTGTTGGCCCTCTTTTTTTTTTTTTTTTTTTATTTTTTGTGCCGCGTCTTGTTGGCCCTCTTTTTTTTTTTTTTTTTAATTGTCTGTGCAGGCTGGGCGTGGTGGCACACACCTTTAATCCCCAAACTCTGGAGGCAGAGGGAGATGGAGTTCTGTGAGTGTGAGGCCAACCTGGTCTACATGGCGAGTTCCAGGTCAGCCAGGGCAACATAGAGACCCTATCTCAATGAAACAAAACAAAAAATTGTGTGCCCTTTGGTGCACATGTGGCGGCTAGGGGTAGACACTGGTGTCTCTCTATTACTCTGTCCACTTAGTTTTTGAGATAGGGTCTCTTACTGAACCTCTGACTGAATATAGCTGCTCCTGGCTTTTATGTGGGTGCTAGGGCTCCAAACTCAGGTCCTCATGCTTGTGCAGCAAGCACCTTACTCATGAGCTAGCTATCTCCCCAGCCCTTACTTTTCTTTATATTTCTTTCTTCTTCCATCTTCTCAGCAACTCTTAAAAACCTGCTTTTTATTGTAAGAGCTGGAGAAAGGTTCAGTAGTTTGTTCCCAGGCACACAGCTAGCCCGTGGTTGGGGCAGCTGTGGCGCCCAGGGTCAGTTCTGGACTGCATCCTCGTGCTGCCCTCTGCTGGTCAGGCTGTAGACCTTGGGACTGGGAAGAGAATTGGGCTTTGAGGGAATCTGGCTTGAGGCCCTTCTTGGGGACGGAGGACAAATGCCCTACTTACTCCCTGGAGAGGCAACTCCCTTGCCTTTTTTCTCCCCTCAGTAGCAAGGCTGATAGTTTTTGATTCTTGTCCCAGGATGTGGAACCCTCTTCACCTGCTGCCTTGGCCGGCCTGTGCCCCTATACAGACTATGTAGTTGGCTCTGACCAGATCCTCCAGGAGGTAAGGAGCCCATGGTGTGCCAGTTCCCAGGCCCCCTGAAGTGGTGTTAACACATTGATGGATACTGTTTACAAGTATCTTTGAGGCTTCTAGGTTGATGCTGGGAGCAGGCCTCACACACTGTTTCTCATAGTCGGAAGACTTCTTTTCACTCATTGAGTCCCATGAGGGGAAGCCCCTGAAGCTGATGGTGTATAACTCCGAGTCTGACTCCTGCCGGGAGGTGACTGTAACTCCCAATGCAGCCTGGGGTGGAGAAGGCAGGTACTACCTGGGGTCAGAGGGCAGCATACGTGGCTAGGTGGGTGGGCTCATCCAGTGGGCACTGGCTTCTAGAGGAAACAGAGAGCTGGCCATGGAGCCCTGAGGCTGATCACTGGTCCAGGAATGTCCTTGCCCATTCTCTGTTGCTGGTTGTGGGTGAGGGAGGTACAGGTAGGAAGGGCTGTGGCTTGGACCATACTGATTGAATGTTTCTGGCCTTTGGCAGTCTGGGATGTGGTATTGGCTATGGGTACCTACACCGGATCCCAACCCAGCCCTCCAGCCACAAGAAGCCACCTGGTACCCCTCCGTCTGGCTCTGCCCTGCTTGGCACCTCACCACCTGATGATACCTCACAACCTAATACCTTGCCCCTTAGTGTCCCACCACCTGGGCCTACCCTCCAGGATTCTCCTGGCCTAGAGATGGGTTCCAGGCAGAGTGACTACACGGAGGTATGTGCAGAGCACCTGTTAGTCAAGGGAACCCAGGAGCTTCAAGGGTAGTGGGTCTGCCAGCTGGAGGCTGTCTAGTGACTCAAGAGGCCCTCTCTGGGGGCCTGTCTTTGAGGCCCTTGTGCCTCTGAGAGGCCCATCTGCTTCTGGAATGCAGTGGAGGCAGAGGGGCTCTGCCTTGGATAGTAAAAGATTGCTTTCTGCCCTACTGCCCTTAGGAGCAGAGGTGAGGCATTAGTGGTCATTTTTTGAGTGGGCAGAGCCTCTACCATAGTGAGGTAGGGCCAAGCCAGGCCAGTGCTGAGCACTTTGGGATTTCCCCACATATACCTGAAGTCCAGGAAGGCCCAGGGAGTAAGGGGTCTGTTTTGGTGGGCACCTGGGAATCCCCCCATCAGGAGTGCCAGAATGCTCCCTTAGTGTGTCTGTTATAGGGGAGGCTCTGCCCCACCTCACCACTTGGAGAGGAAGGTGGATGGCTAAGATTTTCCTTCCTTTTTGGAAGGTGCTCAGTGCAAGGGGGGCTGCCAACTAGGTTGCACTCAACACCAGTTTCTACACTGCCTTTCCAGGTATTGTCCTGATCTCCCTTCTACCTCCTTGTTCCTTCTTTCCTGGCACTTCTAGGCCCTGCTACAGGTCCCTGGCAGCTTCATGGAAGGACAGCTCCTTGGGTCTGGCAGTCCTAGCCATAGTACTGCTAACTTTGGGGGACATCCATGTTCCATGGAGATTCCTCTTCAACCTCCACCTCCAGTGCAGCGGGTCATGGACCCAGGTACTGGGCAGGCCCTTGAGACTGAGGAAACTAGAGCCCCTGGTGCTGAAGTGGGCTGTAGGTTTAGGGCTGGACACATGCAGGACTATCCAGCTTTCCCTAGGGCTTGCTGATCGTTAGTCTTCTATACAGATGGGTGTCTAGTCCAGAGTAGAGGTGATCTACTTTAGGTCACTTGGCAGGTTATAGGCTGAGCAGAATCTGGGCCTATTGCCATTGGACTACCCATGATGCCCAGCCTGAGGGCTTTGTCTCTCAGAAACAGGTGGTGGCAGCCTCCATGGGGTTGAGAGGAGGGCATCCCCAGAGCTGAGGACAAAGTGATGGGTGTCATGGTTTAAGCAAGTTAGGTGCCCCAGGAACATGGCAGGGTAGTCCAGGCTCCTAGCTTTCCAGCAGTTAGGGTTTTCTGCTAGCAGAGAGCAGAGAAACAGCTCTGCCTTCTCTCCCTCTGCAGGTTTCCTGGACGTGATGGGCATGTCCCTCTTGGACAGCAGTAATGCTAGCATGTGCCCTAACCTGCCCCCATCCACAGCACTGACCTCCACAGCCATCTCAGCCTCAGGGCAAGAGGACGTGGGTTCCAGTAGCAGCTCTCATGAGCGGGGTGGTAAGTGAGCGGTGCTGAAGCACTGAGGGCTTTGGGAAGGTTACCCTGAGTTCCTTGTATCAAGGAATTCATACACTTGACTTCTTTTCCTCCATTAAAGCCTGGGCTGCAGTGTGGGATCACTGGGGTCACTGGCCCCAGGCTCTGCAGGCCTCCTCAGCCCCACCCTTGTGTTTCAGGTGAGGCCACATGGTCGGGGTCAGAGTTTGAGGTCTCCTTCCCCGACAGTCCAGGTGCCCAGGCCCAGCCAGACCACCTGCCCCAGCTCACTCTGCCTGACAACCTCACCTCGGCAGCCTCACCAGAAGACGGGCTGTCTGCTGAGCTGCTGGAAGCACAGGCGGAGGAGGAGCCAACAAATACAGAGAGCCCAGATTTCAGGGCAGAGGCTGAGGGGCCAGCCAGTCAAGCCCAGGTCTCTTCAGAATCATACCTGGAGCCATGACAGGGCTCTTGGTGGTATGGTGAGGCTTAGATGTGCAGTGTAGCTTCCTAGGCTGCAGCTTCCAGTAAGGTGTGGGGGCTTCAGCTGGCAGGGGCTCTGGGGTGTGCTAGAGCCTCCTGGGGTCCAAGAGATGACCTTCCAGCCTTTACCCTGGCAGATGGTCCTCTTGGGGCAGCATCCCAGCTTGTGTCCTGGGGCAGGAGGCAGCCACACACCCTCAGGAGGACCAGTGCCTGCTCTGGTCACTGGGGCTGATCATGATCCAGTGTGAAGATGGGGGAGGGACGAAGGGGCTATGAGTACCAGCAGCCCCACCTGTACTGAGGACCCCCGAGCTCCAGTGCCCTCTTTTCATTCTGTGTGTGCACTGCTGGAGGAAAGAGGTTGTGTACCTGGCCACCTGTTCTGAAGGTGGTAAGCCCTTCACAAAGACATGCCCCTCAACCCCCCAAGCTTGCACCCTGCTGCTCTTTGGGGCCTACACGCCAGATCTAGTATCCTCTGTGAGCACTTGCTCCAAAATGTAGACCTTAGACTGAGCATACAAGATATTCAGCAGGTCCTGATGGTGAGCAGAAGATGCAAACTTCAGCTTACTACCCTAAGCCCAACTCTCAAACCAGTCTGTATGACTAGGCCTCTTCACCCTGAGTTCCCACCCCAAGAGCAAACCGAAGGTCCAGAGAAGAGTGGGTAAAGGCCCTTCTGTCTTCCTCTAGTATGGGGGAGGCTGTCCGCTGTCCCCTGACCCCAGGTGCCTTTGGAGGCTAAGGCGAGGTCTGCTCTGCTAGTTTTCTGCAGATGGCTCCATCCAGGGATGCCCCCTCACCACCTGTTCTCTGCAACCACTTCCTTGCTAATTACCATGTAAGCTGCCTTTGGCCTTGTTTTCTAGCTACCACTTAGTTGATAGTCCTACTGTCCACAGACCATATATAGCTATATATACAAGAAACCCACAAGCTGTGTCAGGCCAAGGACTATACTGTGAGCATAGGCCAAATTATATGGCTGGTCGGGGCCAGATGAGCAAACAGTGAGCCTTAAGCCCTGAGACTGCTTTAAAAGCCGGTCCTTGTGAAGCCTCCCAGAGCAGCTGGTGAGTGTAAACAGTGAACTGTTGTGTCCTGGATTGTTGGGGAGCCCTGTGTCAGCCTGCAGGAATGTGCGAAGTAGAATGGAGTCACCATAGGGCTGTTCTCCTTAGCTCTATAGCCTGGCGGTTGAACCCTTGGTTGCCCTCACTGGAAGGTTCTGGCTCCTTCCCAACCCCATACCCTGGGGCAAATGGGTACTAATGCTGTTTCCCAGGCAAATACGAATCCAGATGCTTCTCTGTAATCTGCTATGAAGGAAAGTGACAAGTGAAAAATAAATGTGTACCACACCTTGGAATATTTTAACTAAAGCCTTTATTTTATACAACTGAAATACAGACTTTTCCCCTTCTGGCATTGTAGACTGTCAGATTTCCTGGAGACTGTTTTTTTACTGGTTTTTGACTGGAGGGAAAAAAAGTACAACCATGCTGGGATGAGATCTATGAGAGAGCACAGCTACCCAAGGCTCAGCACAGGGCCAGTGGCCCAGTACAACCCACTCCTTTGCACAAAGGCCCCTCCTGCATACACAACAAGGGCTGCGTTTTTTTCTTTTTGCTATTAGTTTACAACTATTGCTAAAAAATATGCACCAAAAGTGCACTGTTGTATCCAACACATAGGTAAAAAGGACAAAATAAAAAAAAAAGCCGGTTGCTCTGTAAGGAAGAGAGAAAGAAAGCATTTCAGCTTCTTGGAAATGTCTTTGCTCACTTCTTTAAGGTGCAGGAAGCGATGATCTGTCCACTTTCCACAGATAGCTGACCAGCAGTGAGGGAACCCTGTTCTGCAGTTGTGCGGGTCAGAATGTCTCAATTTGTAAGGGATGGACCTTGGCCCATCAGCTGCCCCCTGCGGAACCTGTGATGTAGAAAAGAAAAAGCCTTCCCCACACCCTCCCCAGTTCCTGCTATGGTGGGGACAGGCCACACACAAGCTGGGGAGGCAACTGGACCGGAATAAACTGCCCTCTGAAGGCACTTGTGCTTCTGGCTTCGTACAAGGCTTGTCTTCTGTAGTTTGATGGGGGTGGACCATAGATCTATTCTGAATACAAATGACCTTGGGAAGAATCCAAAGTATTTTCTGCCAAAAGTAGAAGTGTTTATCCCCAATAAGTTAATATTCTGTACAAGATCCAAATGATTCTATGAAAGCTCTAGATTATTAGAAAGAAGAGTGAAAAGAAGATCTGGATACAGGTACAACAAAAACCTGCATAGAAAACTTTGGAAAAAACAAATATGTATACTTTCACAATAAGAATATCAAACCAACATCACTATGACATCTTTTTACTCCGATAACATAAACTTTACGTAGCATTTGAATAAAATTAAAATTTCACTATGGTCTTAAGTTTTGACAGTGTCATGCAGCTCACCCAGGGCAAGGAGCTTTGGTCTCCGCTGGCTTTGCCTGTGAGTCAGACTGGACACTGGAGAAAGGAGAGAACAGCCACTCCTTGGGCTGTTGCCAGCCAGGTCATTATGGGTGCAGCACTGTTAAACATGGGCTGCTGCCTGGAGATCCCAGTGCTGTGTTTCAGTGCCTGGAGTTTTAGTAGATCTTCCTACAAGAACATATCTGAGATGCAATATTTAAAAACAAGCCCTACATGATCCTTTATTATGAAATGGGCTGGCTTTTGAATTGTGCAACAGCAATTCCCATTAAAAATAACTCTTAAATGGTGAAAACAACTTGATTTCTTTTTAAATGACAAACTTGGAAAAAGCCTTCATAGGTACTGCATGAATGGAATGTACTCTTAGAAAAACTACAGAGCTTGTAGGTTTGAGATTGAAACACAGTGACAGATGTGGCCCCACTGATGTTCTCTAACAAGTGCTAAGAGACAAAGATAGGGTCCTTGGAAAGAAAAGGAAGAAGCGAGGTCTGTACTGGCCTGCTGGAGGTTCTCTGTACATCTTGCAAGACAGTGTGCTTGGGGCTCTTCTGTTCTTGCTCTGTGTCCCTGGGGGACCTTAATCTATGCGTGGAGACTGGTTTCTATATTACATCTTCATTAGTCACTTCAACTGAAAGGTAATCTCGGTCCACACCAAATTGGCCGGTAGAGATCTTGCTCTGGTTGGGGCTTGGTGGGCTTCCTAGGACTACTCTTGGGGCCACAGAGGAAGGTATCTGATGAATAACCCAGGAGCATGGGCCCACCCTTCACGTGGACTTCTGACGGTAATGGAGAGTGAGATCTCCACCGCTCTTCCATATGAAGTGCTTCACTGTTCGGAGGTCCATATTTGGATCCAAAACCTGAATAGCCAAAGTGCATGGAAAAGTTCAAGGTCTGTAACAGCTAAGGACTCTCCACCAGGTGGCCCAGCTTGTCCCCCCGCTGTGCCTGGTGGCCTGCTCTTGCCGGAAGCTTCCACACATGCAGACATGAAAGCAGCACTCTCAAATGTGCACCTCTGAGGCGTAGCCGACAGCACCAGGTGCTTGGCCCTTCCTCTGAAGACGTATCATCTGTCTTGATTAGAAACAGTCCCTCCATTTCTCCACCCACCTTCACTCCAAATTCTTTACCATGACAGATGTCACCCTGCAAATCAAGATGCTCATCAGGAACAAAAGCTCCTGGCACAATTCACTTTATGTGTATCTGTAAATCTGTGTTCTTTTCCTGAAAACCTCCCTCAGGTAAATGATCTTTAGGGTGGACTGAAGAACCTTCCCAGAAGAGACAACGGGCTCCTCAGAAAGGAGAAGCCCCTGAAGCAGCAGAGCTGAGAACTGATCTCACACATTCCTTGCTAGGTACCTGTGCTGGAGTGTGGGGCTATGATCTTCAAGTCCACTCACCTGGTCCTGGCACAGAAGTTCAATTTTCTCCTCTGCCAACACAGCAATGTCCTCCTCTTTTTCCTGCTCTCCTGGTTTTTCATTATTAGAAGAGCCAGTGGTTTGAGACTCATTGTCCAGGTTGATAATTTTCTCATAGACGTGCTCCATCACCTTCCGCACCTGGAGCATGTCACTAGCAGAGAGCCTGTCTCTGTAAAAGGCAATGGCATATTTTGACACCATGAAAAATCTCTTCCAGATTCATTTTCTCTGGTGTTAACATCTTCTAAAGATAAAACATTACACAGATATGTGAAATCAATACATGTTTTTAGTCACTGCCTTAATCCATTTTTAGAACTGTCAAAAGATTTTTCTGTAGTGCCCCTCCAAGGTACACGTGATGCTTTTAAAGCTTACGCATACAGACACAGAATTGCCTTCTGTGCTTTATTCCCTTAAAATACTTTCCCAAAGCATAGACAGACCCCAGTGCTTCAGTGCTTACCAAGGTCCGATGCTCTTAGGGCTCAATGTTATCTCCCACTGCCAAGCCTTCAACTAGCACCTGAGGGAGACAATGCCCCAGTCTAGACCTTAAGCCTCAATCTGCTCTAGACCACAAACCCAGCAGCTGGCTGGTCGTAAATTACACTCATCAAGCCCCTCACTCCCAAACCCCTATCTTAGGTACCAGTCAATAAACACCAAACCTCACAGCTAGGCTTAAACTCTGAAAGCCACCCTGAAATTCAGTCATTAAATCTACTTGAAATGACATCTAGGGCTTGCTTTAAAATAACTCAGTGTTTGTGTAAGAGGTAGGTGGGATGGTAGGCAGAGGTACAGATGGAATACAATGTTTAGCCACCTGCTAGGTGATGGTGAGCTGTCAGATGGGCGAGTGGTACTCATTACTCTGTGTAAGATTGGGAATCTCCCGAACAGTTAATAGCAGTCCTGTTCATCTTACTTGCTAGGATACATTCTTCTCATATTCAGCACTCTACTGCTAGACTTCTCAGATCACTTAGGTCTCTCTCTTGAAGCCTCTCTCTAAGCCACACCCCTACCTATCAGGGTATTTTTGTTTGTTTTTTGAGACAGGGTCTCCCTGTAGCTCCAGCTGGCTTGGAACTCACTATGTAGACCAGGCTGGCCTCAATCTCACAGGGATCTGCCTGCCTCTCTGCCTCTGAGTGCTGGGATTAAAGAAGCCTGGCCCCTATCAGGAATTTCTGTATTAGGTCACTGCATACTGTCTGGCTTGGCATTCAAATCCACTGTCATGAAGCTCTACCTGCCTTTCTGATTGATCTCCTAGTATGCCCCTGTAGCTGCTCGTCCTATGCTGTGAGAATATGGGTCCTCAAACCAGTTTCCAGTATCTTGGGCATGCTCCCACTTCTAATCCCTGAGGAAATTGTCCTGGCCTTGCAATGTCTGTCTTTGGATCTTCTACACACCCTGAATGTCCAGGTCAGATCCCATGTTCTTCAAGAAACCTTTCTAGAAAGCTCTAGTCAAAAAGTCATTTATTTCCCCCATACTCACTATTCCCTAAGGATTTATAAAAGCAATCATACACAAATTTTGTCCAGAACTGAACTGTTTTGAGACAGGTTTTATACAGTCCATGCTGGCCTTAAATTTGCTATGCAGCCAGGGCTAGCCTTGAACTCTCAGTCCACCTCTGTCCACCTCCCAAGTGCTGGGATTACAGGTATGTGTTACCATATGACTTCTTTGGACTTACTATGCAGTCTTGGCTGGCCTGAAACTCACTGTCACCCAGACTGACCTCCAATTTGCCTCTGCCTGAGTGCTGGGATTGCATGTATGTGTTACCACTCATGTCCTAAACTAAATTTTGATGACAAAAATCTGTAAATATAAAATCAACCTTAGACCTAGTGTTTGCCTCCCATGTTAAGAGCAATTTTAAAGAAAGAGAATCTTCTGAAGTGACTACTTAGGTTAAGGAACCACATGACACAGATACTTACTTTTTTAATGTTTTTGCTCCTGAAGATGCATGAGGTTGGAGGTAGAAAGGAATTTTGTTGAATTTGGGCATATTTTTCTGAAATATTAAAAGTTTAAAAGGTATGATAGCTTTTATTAGCTGATAAAACTAAAATGCTGTTAACAGGAAAACATGATTTACAAATATTTTATAATTAAAAATGAGTAGTTTATAGTAAGTTATCAGTTGAAGTGTACTGTTGGGAAAATTTATCAGCAAGTATGATGCCTTATTATGAAAATAAGCAAAGACAAATTATATGTAATATTAGTGTTAAAAATAGCATCAAAATATTGTAGCATGGCTAGTCAAACAATTTTTGAGCTATATAAATCAAAATCTCAACTCTACATTAAAATATTGGGGCTGATACCTAAAGGCCCAAACAGAAGTTTGTCTTGAAAATGCCCCACAACCTTTACCTTTGAGCATAGCCACACTGGTGGGTCCATCATCCAGTGGAGAGGCCAGTCGGCCACTCCCCGTTTCTCCCTCTAACAGAAGGAGGCCTAATGTTTTGAAAAGGAAGCCTACCATGAACACACCCCAATACTCAAAGGAGGGTGAAATGGTCTGGCCATGTGCTCTCTGGGCCTCCTTGTTGCATCCTATCTGGATGCCTTCTCTGAGGAATAAGTCATGCCATAAGGTCAGTAATGCACCCCAAAGAAGCAGTGGATTATGGGAAGCTTGGACAGGGAAGACCACAGACTATCCATTAGATGTCACATTGGCTATAAGTGCCTGGGGTATATCTGGGACAGATAACGTATTTTCTAAAGGTTCTAAGAGATTAAATCCCTTTTCATATGGCTTCAGGATATACAAAATAGTCAAGAAGACATAGAAATCTAGAAACAGACCGACCCAAGTATTTATAGGAATTTAGTGCATAATGAAGAGAACATTTCAAATTAATACAAATAGGAATAGACTGTCCAAAATACTGAACTGGCACACTGGTTAGCCTTTTAGAAAGTGTTAGAATCTTACCTCACACCAAACAAAAGAATAAAGTATAACAGATTAAAAAGCTAGACAAAAAAAAATGATCATAATGGTACTAAGAAAATAAAGGACATTTTTTTTCCTTCTTCCCTATTTTAGACATATTTAAAACATGGAACTCAGAGCCATAAAAGAGCAATTTGATTATACAAAAATTAACTGTTCACCTGGCCAAAGACACCTTGAACAAAGTACAAGTTTAATTAAAAGAGACACACAGAATAGTCAAAAAGTTGGTTAATATCCAATATAAAGAACTCCTACAAAGCAATAAGAAAGACAAATAGCCCAATCAGAAAATGGGTAAAGAATACAAACAGGCAGTTCACAGAAGGAGAAATACAAATGGCCAATATGAAAAGAGGCTTAACCTCACCATGAATTAAAGAAAAAAAACCCACATCAAAATGATCAGACAATATCTTACAGTAAAGTTTAAAAGCACCCAGCATTGGTGTAGTGGTGTGGTAAATGTGTATTTGTACACTGTTGGTTTAGTGTAGATTGCCTTTGTGGAGAGCAATTTGGCATTATCTATCAAAATTTAAAATGTGCATACCCTTTGATCCAGCAATTCCACTTCTAGGAATTTATCCTAAAAAGTACAAAGATATATGTACAAGGATGTTCACTGCAGCACTGTTTGTAATAGAAAACATTGGAAACAACCCAAATGTCCATTAATAGGGAACTGATTAATAAATAATGGTACATTTATACAACAGAATATTATACAGTTATTAAAAGGAAATGATCCATAAGTACAGATATAAACAGATATCCAAGGTATATTTTTAAATTAAAAAAAAAGGTGCAGAACACTGTAAGAGGATTTTGTGTAAAATAAAATGAATTATAAACATACATATGCACACAAATAATATATGCTTGTGTACGCAGAGAAGCAAGCAGCAAAGGATCTGCATCACCTCTTGTTACATCTGGGAGGAAGGACAGGGTGGAGGGCTGAGGCGTGGTGGAAGAGATGTGCATTTCAATTCAGGCATTAATTATTTTATTGAATAAGCATATATTATTGTCATAATTAAAAGCTGACCAAAAAAATCAATACATAAACAGTGATCAGATACTTCTGCAACTTTGGAACTGCAGAAAAGCAGATGGAGACTCCACTTGGCAGGCGACTTTTATTACAGTTTAAGACTGCTGTCTACAACAGTCCTTAATGTCATGATCTGGGAAAAGTAAAAGGGCAAAGTGGGAGTGGAGGACACTTACATCCACAGTGATGTCAATTACCCATTGTGGCACTGTCTCATTGAGAAGCATCGACTCAGTCTCGCCCCCGGAATCCCGGCATAGCAGCCTAAACACAACCCATCAGGTAGTCAGTAGCATGATAAGCAAGGGCAGCAGCCCACTGTAGCAGACATCAGAGGAGGAGCCCTCACAGTGTCACTGAGGATACCCTCCTGACAGCTGAGCACACAGCAGACGTGGGTGAGACACTGCTAGATGGGAGAACAGGCCTCAGGCCGCTGACGCAGCTGCTTCTGAGTCCGTGGGTCACCAAAGGAAACCGGGTCTAAGCAAGCACTCAGGAAAGGTCCCTGGCCAGTGCCATGGTCCATGGAGCAGACTTCTGCCTACAATGAGGCTGTATGTGTGGTTACCACTCTCAAGAAACCATCATAAGGGAGAATTCTATACTTAAGGGCAAGGCAAGGAGCGTTCTCACTTCTGATACCCATGGGACTAGTGCTCTTCTCCTGGTTTCACTACAGCCCTGCTGACAAGCTGGAGATGAGCCACAACAGTCTGCCTTCCCTGCAGGACCCAGAAAGGACTGCCTGGCACCCCATGTTAAGTCTGTGTCAGTTACAACAGTTGGCAGAGCAGTCCAGGCCATCCTGCCTGGCCCAGGCTCCTAGAAGCAGAGATTTCTGGTGATGTTATCTCATCTGTGAGAGAAAGTTAAGAGTTTCCTGAAGAAACCACCTGAGAAGCTACTTGGAGGTAGGTATCTGAGGCAGGGACCCAGTGTCATTCTCTATTGGCCTGGGCACTCATTGCTGTAGGCCTTTCATTCTCTCATGGACACAAGGAAACCTTCAAATTCCAGACATTCTTAGAATCTAGTAATAACTTCTCACATCTGCTTGAACCAGTATTTCCTAGCAAAAGTGGGTTGTGTCAGGGAGGACCTCTCTGGCAGGGCCTTCTCATTCATACCTGAACAGTGTACGACCTCCAGCTTCACCGAAGATCACAGGGGTGTGAGGGGGCACTTGGAAATACCCATTTCCTTTCTGGACTCGGTTCTCCTGCTCCCCGTTTACTAGGAAAAGATGTAGCCTGTGTTAGTGCTAAAACTATGAATTTGAAACATTTTATTGCCACAGGCTTCAAACACTGCAAGATTTCTAAAGTCCAAAGTCCTGCCATTTAGCCAGAGTTAGAAATCAAAGTGAAGGGGGCTGGAGCTACAGCTTAGTGGTTAGGAGTGCTTGCTGCTCTTGCAGAGGACCTGAGTTCAGTTACCAGCACCCACATTAGGTGGCTCACAACCTCCTATAAATCCAGCTTCAGGGGATCTGATACCTTCTGGCCTCCTTGAGCACCTGCACACACATGACACATACACAAATCTCAATAAGAACATGGCAATTTTGGAGGATCTTACCGATCTTATCAGAAGTCCAGTGTACTACCCATTGCATAACACAACTCATTTTGGAGGATTTTAATGAAATAGATGTTTATGTATTTTTATGTGTTTTATTTATGTGTATGAGTGTTAAGAGCAAGTATACTCATAACCTGAGTAAACCATCCAGCCCAGTGTTTTTGTTTCTGATGTAAAACATTTATCTCTTTTGGGGCTGGAGAGCTGGCTCAGAGGTTAAGAGCACTGGCTGCTCTTGCAGAGGACTCAGGCTCAATTCCTAGCACCCACATGGCAGGTAACAACCATCCGTAACTCCAGTTCCAGGGGAACCCAATGCCCTCTTCTGACTTCTGGGCATTATGCCGCACAACATGGGTACATTACATACATGCAAGCAAAACCATGCAAACACACATTTAAAAAAAAAAAACAAAAACCCAAACAAAACATGACCAGCTATTTTAGCCATAAGGAAGTCAAAGACACCTGTTTATAAATGATCTGTGTTTCCCCTACATCTTTGTCTTCCATTTTTTAAACACACACACACACTTTTAAATTTTATGTATATGTGTGTATTGCCTACATGTAGGTAAGTGCACCCGTGTTGTACAATGCCTGTGGAGGACAGAAGAGGCTGTTGGATCCCCTGAAACTGGAGTTACGGACAGTTGTTAGCTGCCATGTGGGTGCTGGGATTCGAACCTGGGTCTTCTGCAAGAGCAGCCAGTGCTCTTAACCACTGAGCCATCTCTCTAGCCCACATATTATTAACCCAGGCATCTGACTCTGACTTATGTACCATCCAAGGGTTGCTGTTTTAAAATTACTTAATTCTGTCTATCTGGGCCATTGGAGTATGCTGTCTAACAGGAGAGCATGTTACATCTATACAGCTGAGAAGCAGAGTCACAACAGACCCTAGGCTTGGTGTTCTTGTTCTCCATCCTTGGTAGAGAGACCATCCCACGAACTTCTCTAGCTCCTAATACATGGTATAATTCTGATGGGCAATGAAGTAGGCCAAGTGATGTACAAGGAAAGTCTCCATGGGGGGTCAGAGAACATCAAGGAAGCATGAGCACTGAAACTGTGAGGGATTTAAATCCCACAAACCAATGTGGCTCAATCTGCCTGTGAGGACCAACCGCTGGCAGAAGGTGCTTACTACCATGGCTCACTCATGGTGGTCAGCAGAGCATTCTCAGCAAGTGAGATGCAATGACTTTTCAACCAGCTACAAGTCACAAAGGAGACGTCACATATGAACTTGTAAGTTCTTTATTTCTCCTTCCATCAAATGGAGCCAAATACATACCTTCCAAAAGTTAGTGCCATTGCCTACATCATACACAACTTTGACTCCCCACTGTACTGAGGATTCAATCTACAGCCGATCACTCAAAATATTCTCTACCCCTCTGAACATGCTTAAAGACTCTTGGGACTAGAGAGTTAGCTCAGCAGGTAAGAGCACGGGCTGCTCTTTCAGAGGACCTGGGTTTGGTTCCCTGCATCCACATCACAGCTAACATCTATCCTGAACTCCAGTTCCAGGCAATCAGATGCCCTCTTCTGGTTTCCATGGGTACTGCATGCATGGATGTACTTAACAGGCAAAACACTCATATTTTAAAAAAAGATATTAACACATTTACTCAGTCACTTCTGAGTTGAAATTTGATTTTTTTAAAAAAAGGTATTCAGAGTCAAAATAAGATAGCTCATCAGGCTGGGCAATAACCAATAATGCCACTAAAAACCCAGCTTTCTGATGTAGCTAATTTAGCTAGCTTTGGAAGATTGTTCCAGAATGTCACAGAAAAACTCAGGGATATTTTTGGAAGAAGCCTGCTAAAGTGCCTAGTGTAAGGCACAAGTCACCTGCACACACCTGGGGCTTCTTTGGTCTGTGTGAGCCATATCCCACAGTGGTCTCATCTATACTTGTCTCAGTTCACTAGATACTCTAGCTCTGAGATGCAGAAGGGAGACAACTGGGCAGACTATAGACACTGACATCACACTTTAAGCAAACCCTCTTAAGTACCTTTTGGTTTAAGTAACTCTTAATTTTCTGAATATGAAAACACTAACCAAAAAAAAAAAAAAGTACTAACCATGGTTGACTTCATTTTCTTCTTCATCCATTGGATTCACATGTGTTCTAGGCCAATATTCTAGAAGTGCCTGTAGTAAAAGTCCTCCTAAATTTACTGCAAAAGTTAAGGATAAAGAAAATTCATCAGTTATAACCTAAAAACAGAAGGAAGCCTTCAGTAGCCTGATGTTAAATCTGTTTTCTTTAGAAGCAAAATTGGGGGAAGGGGGCTGAAAAATAAGACAGCTGTACACACCCAAGCTTCTAGGGAGCAGGGTATATGAAAGTGTCTTAGCAAAGGCTACAGCTTCAAGTTTGGTGGCTTTTGAAGTTCCAGTGTTCAATTTGGTGTTAAATTCTTCTTTTCTTTCTGGGTTTAGTCTGGCCTTGAACTTCTTCCAATTCTCAAATTCTGGGATTACAGGCACGATGCCAAGGTACTATTGTTGAGCTCTTAACCTAAGGTTAATAATGCTTCAAATTAAGACTTAGGAAAATCTGACAGGTCTATCAACATTTTCCTCTTAGAAACTGAAAATGATGATATAGAAAAACTGATATTCTACACCATTATTCACAGAAGCCTTTTTTTTAATAAAAAAAAAAAGAGTCTCACACTGTAGCTAAAGCTTCCCCGGAACTCAAGGCAATCCTCCTGCCTCAGTCTCCTGACTGCTGGGATTGCAGGACCAAGCCACTATGCCTGGCTTTATTTATATATGTATGTATGTATGTATTTATGTATTTATTTTGGTCTTTTTGAGACAGGGTTCCCCTGTAGCCCTAGCTGGCCTGAACTCATAGAGATCTGCCTGCTTCTGCCTCCCAAGTGCTGAGACTAAAGGCATGTGCCACCACTACCAGCTTAGCCAGTTTTTTAAAAACCAAATAAAGATGACATTGTTTAAAGAGACATTCCTCTGAAGCCATCAACATTGTACTCATGCATCATTGGTCTCTACACACCACATTCTCAGAAGAATGCTAACAAAGATATAATAAGATCACAACAGGATGCTACAAGACAAGCAGCTAGCAAACCTTGCACAGATCCACCTTCACTTTCAAAACAAGACATGACTCACATTTTGGGTCTGACCCATCAGGGCTGCTGAAGCCAGCGTCTTTTGCAGAAACCCAGGCAGCAAAGCAGTCACTCTCATCCAGAGTAATGGTCAACATCTGTCAGAAGCAAAAATGTCAGTGATACTCCACTTGAATACAAACTTCCATTCACATGCACCATTTGACTAAAAGTTTCATCCATGTCATTCAATGCTGTTACAACTCAGTTTACTGGAACACTAAGGGCCTTTACACCACAGTTTATTAACATGCAAAGAATTTTCACATGGTTAAAAACATGTAAAGCTGGCCGGGCATGGTGGTGCACACCTTTAGTCCCAGCAGGAGGCAGAGGCAGAGGCAGATCTCTGTGTTCACGGCCAGCTTGGTGTACATAATTGAGTTCCAGGCCAGCTGGGGCTACAGTCTCAAAAAGGGCTACAGGCTCAAAAGACCAAAAAAAAAAAAAAAAACCACCCAACCATGTAACTCTGTAAGAATTATAGCCTGTATCCTGGAGATCTTTAACCATCTAAAATTATATAAACACTGACTGCTAACTCACCCCTGTTTTTAGGTCTACTGAGAACCAATTTGGCACATACACCATTTTAAATCTTTTCTTAATTTCATCTTCAAAATCCACTTTGCCCAAATCTTCAACTTTACATGCCTGTACATCAAAAGAAAGTATAGTGATTAGTATTTTATGAAATTTTATATACTTTCACTTTGTCTGAACATATTCTAAAATATATTTCAAAAAGAAAAGAACCAAATAAAAAACTTAAAGCCTTTAAAAAACAACCTGCTATTATAAAAATTAAAAAAAAATCAGAAAAATAATCTTTCAGGGAAACTTTTAATTTTGTTCTAACCCCCCCCCCCACATCTAGAAGTACTATCAAATGAAGCTCAAAAGCAAAGGGAGGAAAAGTTCCCAAGTGACAACCAAGTTCCAAAGTGCTTCCTCAAAGAGTATGTGAAGTTACCTCAGACAACAACTGATTCAGGCAGTGACTAAAAACTTCTGCTCTCCTGACCACACATAAGATTCTAAATATTTCTTCTTATTCCCAAAATGTATGTGCTTTTGAAGTGTGCCCAGGGCTGTTTCCAACTCTAGCTCCTTTCGGTGTTGAACTCCATCACAGAATGCTCCTTCTGTAGCTCAGCTCCACAGCAATACTGTTGTCTCCTGGCCACTCCACAGTTGTCTTCTTATAGGGAGACTACAGACTGTCCTCCTATACTCCACTGCTCCCTAAAGCCCCAGAGAGAGCTTACTCTTTAATGACATACCTAAACACCAAACATCATCATCTCCATGTGAAACTATTTCCTGGAAGCCCGAGTCATTTAACTGCAGTAAACTGTGCCTGCCCCTCGCCAGCAGCCTTCACAACCAGACTTCCTCATTTGTTGGACACCTGAGCCCTGGCTCTACTGCCTTACAGTCCATCTCAAGCTCTTGCCTTTGTCCTAGCTACATCTACATGGACAACACAGATGACCCGCTGCCCCTCAATCCCTTCATAGCATCACCACCATAAACTCATGGTCTCCAGACACAACTGGATCACTACTGCTACCCGGGATGCTTTCTGTTCCAAGTCAATCCTCCATAAAAAGTCTGTTAAATCTCTACTCTTATCACATCTTGAATCTTCCTATATCCTCTAACTATGTGATTCTACAAAGATTCTAACCAGGGGGAAGAGAGAGTGAGTGAGCATATAAACAAGCCTTGACAGAATCCTTTTTTTCCCCTTCTTCCTGGTGCAAGGAAAAGATCCCTCTGGCTATGCTCTGGTCCTCCCTTTGAAAGACACCCCTCCCCTTATCATATCTCTGTCTCCCCATAAGCAGTGAAATGTGCTCCCATTTTTCATCCTAAACATACCCAAACACCAAAAATCATAAAAAGCAAAACCAAGATATCTTCCGTTGGCTATCTTGATTCTAATCCTCTCAGGTTTCTGTCTCTCCCCCCATGTCCTTATCCTCTGCAAAGTCAAATTTCCTCGAGATTATCTTCCTTTTTTCACTGCATAATTACTACTAAACTCACTGGCTGTTGCCTGTAAGAATCTCCCTTGGTCAAATCGGAGTGCATGCTGGAGAACCCAACTCAGCTGACTGATGCTACTGACCACAGCTCCTTACTGAAACCTTCAATTTGTCCTTGAGCTGCCACTGGCTTTTGATTCTCTTACTCCTCTTTATCATACGTGGATGGCTTCCTTTTTCCAAAATCCCTGACAAGATGACTCAGTTTATTCTCAGTCATGTTCCTTGGAAACCCCATGATTTCCCACAACATCAGTTGTAATCCACAAGCGGATGACTGCTACATATTTGATCTGGCTTACACACCAGACAGTATAGCTGTCTGCCCACCAATATAAACTCAGATCCACCATTTTTTCCAGCATGTCCCTTTCTCCTGACAGCTGTTGTATTTATACCTGTGTCACTTCCATTCACCAAAGAAACCCAGGATGCATCCTTACACTTTCCTTCATACCTTCCACCTTCCTTCTTTCCATCTAGTCCAGTCAAATCGCACCTTTTGCTTGTATCCATGCAGCAGCCTCTTAACGAGCAGATGCTGAGCACTGTGCCACACAGTTTTCAAACTGCCCTCAGCATCATCAGAAAATAGGTCCCCCACATTTCTGGGATGAAGCCACAGGTTCAGAGAAGTACAGTAGGTCACCTGACTGAAAGCTGGCTACAGACCAGAAAGCAGCTCTGTCTAGCTCCTCTTTGTCCCCAAACACTCTTGACTTACCAATATTCCTAATGCTCTCAACATAACGACCTCAAAACCTTCAAGGTTCAGTATCTGGACATGGGAAACTGTCATGTTTACAGAAATGCCAATCATGATGCATGCTAGCTCAGAGCCCCACCCAAGTAAAACTACGTTTCATTCAGACACCAGTTTTACTGAGAGCAGTTAACTTGACCAAGAGTAGGTGACAGAACCACAGGTAGTAAACTGCTAGGACAACCTCCAAGAGTAGCTGGCCCACCCAGACTCTCTCAGGTATTGTCGGGACAGGAGCTAGGCAGCACAAACTAAAGCCCACACATGAGACACCCACATTAGTGAGGGGTGTTAGGAAAGAATCAAGATATTTTGATGAGTTCTTAAGGATCCTCCCAGTTACCAGGGGACACTTCTGTGAAAGAAGGGACAGGACAGGACAGCTTTCACTACCCTCAAGGAATCATTCAGCTTAAAATGAAAACAGCATGAAGGATAAGAACTCTGATGCAGCCCTTTTAAAGACAGGTAACATAAAATACAATCTGTAATAAAATAAAGTGCTTAAAAACGTAATCTACGACATCATCTAACATTTATAGTACCCCCAAGGTATTATTGCAAAGAACTACTCATAGATTTATTATCTTGATTATTGTGTATAGAAAAAGAAAAATAAAGAGAATATACAACTCAACCTCTATCTAACCCCAAAGACACTTACCTTTAACACGTCCCAATATGCCACATTATTATTGGTATCTTTGGTTAATATATGTCTCTTATCATTAAGGATGTGGCACTGAATAATACTAGCTCCCCCTAAAGGAAGGAAAAAAATTGACAAGCTGATAATCCTTATCTATTTAAATGTAATGTGGCAATAATTATTAAGTGGCACATAACAGGAACAATTTCAAAACTAGCCCCCAGGGATAAGGCAACCCAGAATATTAAAGGATGACATCTGAGGCACTTTAAAGCCAACCAATTATTTGCTGTTATTATCTGAATTTATAAACATTTGAAGAAAAATTCTGATTTTCAGAACAGATTATATAATTAAAGCAAGGGCTACTATTAGTAAAAAAAAATTGTTGAGAACCAAAAATTTTATCCACTGAGAAAAGTCAAATAAATAATGACAGAGAATCCTTGAATTACTTCTAACTGGCATTTAAATTTTATTTTTTAATTATTATTGTGTACATGCACATGATGTGTGTGTAGGTATGCCTGCCATGATGCACATATGGTCAGAGGATAACTCTGTGGACTGGTCCTCCTTCCACTTTTACATGGACAGGGATTGAACTTAAATCCTCAGTCTTATGTGGCAAGCACCTTTACTTGCAGGGCCATCTTATTAGCCCTGGCATCTTACATTTACTACCCATCTTCCTTTTCCTTTATGCCTCCTGAATGGATACTGCATTCTAAAGGTAAGAACTATAGATGAATGTGCCAGATAGGATGCTAATCCCAGGTGCTGGCATTAAACATGCATTGTTTTTTGCCACACCAAGACAAATGTAGAATTTGAGGCCCGTGTCTGACTTCTCTAGATTGTGCTAAAAGACATTAAACTCTACATACTTAGCTTTACCCTGGCTATTGTGCTCTGGAACAAAACACAAACAAAAACCCCTCAAGAATAACACCACAATAAGTGTGCATGCCTTAGGCCCCAAGCACTTTTGGAGCACTGGGAGGCAGAGGTAGGTGTATCTCTGTGAGATAAAGGTCAGCCTGGGAGTTCCAGGCCAGCTGGGGGCTGGCTACAGGAAGACCCTGTCTTAAAAAGAGTCAAACAAACAAACAAAAAACAAAAAAAAAAAGGAAAAAAAGAAAAAAGAGTAACACCACAATAAACGTGGGTGTGTAGATTCTTTGGTATGCCAAAAGACAAAGTAGTGTCTATATGTTATGCACACACACATACACACACACACACCCATACACACAAGGGGCTATTAGGCTATAAAGAATGAAATCCTGTCATTTGTAGTAAAATGGAACTGGAGAACATTACATGAAATATAACAAGATAGAAACAGAAAGACTAGTACTACAGTACCACAGGTCCTCCCTCACACTGAAGTTAGAAAAGGTGGTTAGACGGAGGCTAAATTTGACCGGTGCATACTGAATGCATATACTGAAACATCACACTGAACCCCATCAACCTGCACCACTAATACACTTAAATAAAAAATTAACTCAAACACTAATTTCTTGTGCTCACTAGTAGGGTGTCCATGAGTAGATGTTCCCACACCTATATGCACTTGGGGGCACTAATGGGACTCAGTGGGCAGTTAGCAACCATCATAGAATTCCAGGGGGTCTGATGTTCTCTTCCGGCCACTGCAGGCATTGTACATATGTGGTACACTTCCATATATGCAGGCAATACACTCATACACACAAAATAAAAAGAAATAAATTTTTTTCTAATGCATGAAGATATGTGTGTGTGAAATGTGTTGGAGGTGTGCTAGGGGAGCAGGTAAGGGGGAGAAGGAGTGGATATGGTTAAGATATATTGTATGCATGTATGAAACAGTCAAAGACTAAGCATTCACACAAAAAAAAATTCTTTAAAAACCCAACTTGTGGGGCTGGAGAGATAGCTTAGTGGTTAAGAGTACTGGCTGTTCTTACAGAGGACCTGGGTACCTACATGACAGCTAATAATCATGCATAACTCCAGTTCCAGGGGTCCCAACACCTTCTTCAGGCCTCTGTAGGAACTGCACACACACAGCGCACTTATATACATGAGGCAAAAACACTTAGACACATAAAACAAAAAACCAAAAATAACTCATTTCTCATCATAACTTTCTTGTACATTAGTTTTTTGTTTATATGAGAATTACATTTAAAGAAAGGTCATTGCCTTCATTTTTGCCTGCATCTTATTAACCATAATCTCAATTTAAAAAGTATGATCCACTGTAGTTTTCTTACCTTTAATAACTTGGTCGGGTTGTATGCAGAGGGGCGTTATAGGATTTGTACAGTCATTGTCATAATCGCCAGAGGCCCGAAAATTATGAATTCCCTTTAGTGTCTAAAAGAACAAAATTTGTTATTTCATCATTTTATGATCTATAAGCTTATCAATCTATTTAAAGTGGCAAGAAAAATAAAGCTAAAGAACAAGCAAATGTTGAAGTCTCAACAACTACTACATCAGTCAAAGACTACAGTCAGAGTATAATTATTTACCACAATTAAGGCAACAACAACAACAAAAAACTCCCCAACAGATATTAAGGAGGGAATGCTGTCCTGAAGAAAAAAAAACTAGGTCATCATACTGGTCACTGTCTGGCACAAGGAGACTTACATAGTGGGCAAAAAGTGCAGCTGACCTATACACAGACAGGAGTAAAGAAAGTCCTTTCTCCTGTGCTATCTACAGGGTCTGGTATACAAGCAAACTTAAATCTTTATACTTCAAAGTTAACAGTGATGTGGATGACTTCTCTGTTCTGCTGTATTTCTATCCCTGCTCTTTATGTGATGAAGAAAAGCTCATAAATTCTAAAGTCAATTTCCTGCTCTCTCTTATGTTTAGAAAAATGAGAGTTCTGACAAGTCTGCTGGTATCTGGACTGCCTTCTTTCAATCTTTTTGTGCAATTAAGACAGCGTCTCCCTATGTAGCCCAGGTTGGATTTGAACTTTTGGCACCCCTCCTATCTCAGTCTCCCAAGTGCTGGATTACAGTTGTGTATCATCACACCTGACTCCACCACTTCCCTTCAAATGCACCTTATAAGATCAGAAACAGTGCTAATACTGACTGCTTTAATCATGCAACAAGTACATCAAACACTTATCTTGGCTGGTGTCAAAGAACAGAGAAGCCTCATTTTACTCATGAACTTCAATGTGATCCTCAGGATCACACCTGCATTCACTGGGTCTTTCAGGTTTTGGTCACTACCCAAAAGCATGTTGATAGGGCCACACTGAACTTCACTGCTGGTGACGGAGCACAGCTGTGATGACAAGCCACATGCTTACAGACCTTTGCCAAGAGCATGGTAGCCCGCTTACCCACTTATTTACTGTAGACTTAGTTGTTGCAACCCAGATTGCAGGGGCGGGATCAGCCGATCTGTCAAGCTCCATCTGAAAACAAAGCACAAAAATCTTGTTTTGTGGAAGGCTGACTCCTCTGAACTGGCAGCCTAGCTATATACCATCAAATACCAACTCCTTTGTCAACAACTGCATGCTGCCTATACCAGGGCATGTAGCGAGTTACAGGCACAGTTAAATAAGCCTCTACCAAAGGAGTTCAGTCTTGCAAAAGTGGACAGTGCTGAAAGGACCAACCTCTCAGCAAAAAACAGTACTCAGAGTCTTTTCTTTTTGGGAGGTGGTGGTGGGGGGGGTGATACTAGGGACTGACCACAAGACATTACACATGCTAGGCAAAGTGTTCCAGCTACACTTATGGCTACTTACGTATGTATGTATGTATGTATGTATGTATGTATGCATGCATTATATTTTCAGGATCTCACTAAATTGGCCTGGCTGGCTTTGAACAAATGGTTCCAAATCCCATGTTGGCTGGGATTAAGGCATGAACACCATGACTCGATTGAACTTTTTTTTTTTTCTTTTTTCTTTTTGAGTCAGGGTCTCCTTGTAGGCCTGGCTGGCCTGAACTCTCTATGTAGCCCAGGCTGGGCTCAAACTCACAGCAATCTGCCTGCCCTGGCCTCTGCCTCTGCCTCCTGTGGAAAGTTTTAAGTGAGGTTAATTGGAGAGACCTAAATGGACACAGTCAAAAGGGTAAAGACCTTCTGAAAAAGAAATAGTGCTCTATTTTTGCTATTCTAGTTTTTACACTCTGTGTACGTACTTTTTTGAGTTAGGGTCAATCTATGCTATATAGTCCAGGCTATCCTTTGGGGGCTATCTTGCTTGGCTTAAACTCTTTTTTAATAACAAGGAAAAAAGTTTCTTCTTTCTTTGAGAATGTCTGTAGGAAAAAAAAAAATCCTAACACAGCAATGTGAAAAATAGCCCTCCCCTAAGGACAAGACAACCGGGAACAGATCACCACATACCTTTTGCATTTTCAAAATATACATGGAATTTAAAAATATACAAGTACATTGTGTACTTGTACATACAATGCACAAATGGTATCACTTTGCACTTCTCTACTCTTCTTCCTGTACCAGGAAATTGCAAGTTGGAGTGTGGAAACCAGGACTGGACTCCTGGCTATGACAAATTCTCAACACGACTCTTTTCACAATGTATGGCTATGCTTGTGCCACCTTCTTTATTCTGTTTCCTACAGCCAAGAGCTCCTGGCAACCGTAGGACTCCCAACACAGAATTCCTTTTCTATGCTTGCCTGCCCCCCCAACTCCAATACTTTGCTTCCCTAAAGGATGGCTGGCTGGTCCATCAAGATGTGCCATCTGTGTCAGACCCCTTCTACTCATACTGTGGAGCCTGGTTCCACTGCAGCTTCTAGGTAGCAGTGTTTGCAGTCTGAAGTAGCTGGCTCTTCTCCTTCAGGAGGACTCTTCAACCTCCTCACTGCTGAGGCTATGGACATTATTTGCCAGACTTCTTTTGCTTTTCTGCCTTTTGCTCACAGATTATCTGTAAGTTCATGCTCTTCCTCTTGGACAGGGCAGGAGAGACTAGCAAGCTCAGGGCATGCCTGACACAGGAGCACTAGAATTTATTAGGGGGAAAGCGGCCATGCACCCAAGAAGTCATAATTTCTTCCACAAGTGATTCTAAAAAACTGCCTCCTCATTCCCTCTGAGGGTCTATGTTGAGACTCTTTCACACACTCTTCCTTACCCTGTCAAGGATAAAAGATCTTTTTCCAATCCCAGAGTTCATTCATGTTTTAATACAGATTTCACTATACTTGTCTAACAAGTTTAACAACCTTAGTTATAAAACTGAAATACGCCATACCTTGAGAACCGGTGCTTTTTCTTCACAAATTAGCACCCGAATATCAGGGTTTCTTAGGTCTGTACAGTAAATCTTCCTGTCCCTTCCTCCAGAATATACATGTGTGAAGGCATCATTGACTTGCAGGGCCCAAACACCTTCATCATGAACCCGGTACGTGGCTATACATCTCTGCTGGCCCAGGGACCACAGGCGAATTGTCCCATCAGAACTACCGGAGAGGCACTGAGAACAAAGAAAATAAGGTTAGAAACCCACCAAGGAGCTTTGCTTTCCTGAACCTTGTGCTGGGCCCTCTGCCTGCATTTCTGCCTTGACAAGGCTGCTGACAAGCATGCCCCAGTAGGAAATGACCAGAGGCAAGAGTGCAGGCTCAAGCAGAAGATACCTCTTAGCAAATTTGCCTTTCCTCTTAACAAGTTGCCTGTTGATAACTGGTAAATCATGAAGGTGAGTCATGTTCAGATGGTGTTAGAAAGTAGCTGAAGATAAGGGAGTAGTAACCCCAGTAGAATCTTCCCTGGGAACCTATTAAAAGTGTAAATTCTAGGGTTGGAGAGATGGTTCAGTGGTTAAGAACACCTCCTAAGGACCTAGGTCCAGTTCCCAGCACTCAGGAGTTGTTAAAGACTCCTAACAACAGTCTTTAACTCCAGTTCCAGGGGATCCAATGCACTCTTTTGGCCTCCAAAGGCACTGTATGCACATGGTACACTTACATACACGCAGACAAAACACTCATACACATAAAACAAAAATCAATTAAAAAAATTTAAGTATAAATTCTTGGGTCCCATCCTAACTTAATGAGGCAGGACTCAAGCAAAACCACCAATGGATGCTCCCCAGGCTCCCCAGGTGATTCCCATGTACCACAACAGGCATGGCTCCAGGCCACTGAGCCTTGTGGAATCCTGCATATCTTTGTCTCACCCTGTCTTTCATGGTTCAAGATTTCTAAAATCCTGCAAGGTCTTTTGGAGTCTACTGACAGGAATCTGAAACAAGATCTAGTCCTAGGTTTTCACACGCTCCTGTGGCCCTGAACACTTCTCACAGGAGCTGTGATTTAACATTAGCAGCTTTGACCATTTTTGAAGGTTCAGGAGAATCAACTACCCAGATGCTGCTGGCATACAAATTAGAGTTGAGCACACTGTGAGTCAGACAGAAACAGGCTGAATTAGTCACCCCACATCCATACAGGGCATTCTCAGTGTTCTTGATCGGTTACCGTGGTGACTTGTAGAGAGGATAAAAACTTCATTTCCTTGGGAAAAACAATGGCTCTGAGGACAAAGTAATCGCTGGTGCTAGAATATGAAATTAAGCAAGAACTTCAGAGAAGAGTAGTGATGGGCTTGGAAACGTAGAAGGTGCTTGAATATATGAAGTTTTTAAGAATGTCAACAATTTATTGGTCTGCCTCACATCTTTAAGGAGCCTTTGGAACTGTCGAGAGGTTTAATGAAATGAACATGTATTAGGAGACTTCCTCACAAAATGTCAGGAGCATCCAGTTTGATCACCTCTTCTAACTAGGTCCCAAGGGAACCAACTGACCCAACCTGGGTGTGGAAGAACTGGGACAGGGCTGGCAATGGGCTCCCCATTCCAGAAGATGCCAGCTGAGAGCAGAACACTATCAGATCCTAGAATGTGCGACTACAAAGGGCAAGGTCTGGCAACCTGAAGAGGCAAAGATGATGATTTAGAAGTCCCATAGCCTGAGAAATGTGAACAGGAAAGGTACCAGATTCAGACCGTACAGCTGGAAACTGAAGTGGAAAAACAGGAGTTGGATTAATCTTGACACAACACAAAATAATCTGATAGCAGTCAATATTCTAAGGCTAAGGCTATAGAAAAACTGAGCCGATAAAAAGAGAGCAACCATTTTTTTTTTTTTTGTCTTTTGAGACGGGGTCTCCCTGTACCCTGTAGCCCTAGCTGGCCTGGAACTTACTATATAGACTAGGCTGACCTGGAACTCACAGAGATCTGCCTGCTTCTGCCTCCCAAGTGCTGCACCACCATGGCCGGCTTCAGAGAGCAACTTTTTTTTTTTGGTCTTTTTGAGACAGGGTCTCCCTGTGGTGCAAGCTGGCCTGGAACTCACTATGTACACCAGGCTGGCCTTGAACTCACAGAGATACGCGTGCCTCTGCCTCCCGAGTGCTGGGATTAAAGGCATGCGCCACAGAGCAACCATTTTTAAAGAACACTGTGGCCAACGTTTTGCAGCATTTAATAGAATGCTAAAGAGTGTCCTGTTATGTAAGCATCTCTTCCTACCCTAAAAGATCCTGAGCCCCATTTAATGTCTCGTATCTTGTAGGAGCTAGAGGAATCAGCAAAATATTCTCCACCCTTCCGACCCTACCCCATTGGCTAAAAATATGAAGCTATGAGATGATGTCCCAGAATAAACACAATATCCTAAATTGTTCTGTGAAACCAGACCCACCTAGAACAAACTCTGTAACCCTGATCAAGTATCCTCCGTTTTCTCAATGAAGGCAGGAGGGAGTTCCTTTGTGTTGGATGTTGTCTGATGCAGAGATCCCATATCATTAAGTTAGGTTTGGGAATTGTATTATCAGAAAAACCCTGTGGGTGACAGACATACCAAGATGGCAGGCTGTCCAAGCTCCTCAAGCAATTAAGTATGTCAGTGACTGCAGGGAACAAGAAAGGGGTCAGTCAACACTGGCAACCAATCAGAACAACTGCTGACTTCACAGAAGAACTCTCTTGGGTAAAATCTCAACCAAATTTGGTAAATAAAATCTTTTTCTTTTTTTCAAAAAAATTCTTATGGGGCTGTAGCGATAGCTTAGTGGTTAAGAGCACTGACTGCTCTTGCAGAGAACCCAGGTTCAACTCCCAGCACCTACATGGCAGCTAACAACTGTCCATAAGTCCAGTTCCAGGGGCCCTGATGCCCTCTTCTGACCTCCACGGGTGCACTTATGCACATAAAATAAAAAATAAATACAAATTTAAAAAAATACTTATTTTATGTATAAGTGTATTGCCGGCATGTGTGTAAGTGCACCTGTGTCATGCAATGGGCACGGAGGTTAGAAGAAGGCATTGGATCCCCTGAAACTGGGGTTACAGATCATGCGGATACTGGGAATTGAACCCGAGTCCTCTGCAAGAGCAGCCAGTGCTTTTAACTGCTGAGCCATCTCTCCAGATCCATAAGTAAAATCTTATTCTACAAGAAATAAATGAAGCAACAGGCAAATACTCATGGGATTCATTGGTTTGTTACACACACACATATATGTACACATACATACAAGCTACTTACCACAGGTTCCCTGATTTAAAATGCAAACATTGGGACATCTGCAGGGCAATTCTATAGCATGCAATATATACTTCAGCTCGGAAACTAACACCTACTGATTTGTTATTAACAATTTAAGATCAGTAAGTTCTTTTTTTTCTTTTCTTTTTCCAAACAAGCAGTTATTACAGTTGTTTTCTTTCTTCAGTTCACTAACATAAATATGTGTTATAGTATTGGTAGAATTTGTATTTAGTCTATAACTGCTAGTACAGAAGAGAAACTAGATGAGAAATGATAGCTACCAATTACATGCAGTAAGACTGCAGCTAGCTTTTAGCACAGAGCCTTATCTTGGCCTCTGCTTAACATCAAATACAGCTGTCTTCAAGGGAAAGCACATTTGTACATCTGACAGAAAAATCATCTTATACAGAAGCACATTCATAACTGAGAAACAGGAAATAATACATAGAGTGTAGTGGACAGGAAGAACTTTTAAGGCCTTTGAGAACCAAAGCCCTCTTCTAGAAACCATGGAGACCATGTAATCCAGTCACATCCTGAACAGGTAACCATGTCTAGTGCAGCTTTGCAGCTATAGTGCAAATGGGGCTGCAAAGGAACCTGTGAGCTATAGAAATCATGTATTAGTATACTCTAGCTATACAAACTGCACACCCACGCCCTCTTTACAGATGAACCAATAAAACACTCTTGCAGTCAAGTATTCTCAAGGCACAGCATAGCTATACTCATAGACCTCCACAGAGTAGCTCCAAGTCTCTCCTGGCTATGAAGAATGATTCTTCCGTCAGCTAATCCTTCACCTTCCAGTTACCTCTGCAGACAAATATTTTTTCTTTAATTGTGATGAGGCTCTGATGAGGCATTTTCTCTCTTTCTCCCCCCCCCCTTTCGCTCTTTTTTAAGACAGGCTGGTTGCAAACTCACAGAGATCCGCCTGCCTCTGCCGCCCAGGTACTGGGATTAAAAGTGTAAGCCACCTCGGTTGGCCCCCTGAGGCATTTTCATTGGTATAATTTCTACAAGAATAACACAATGACAGTGTTTCAGACCCAGTAGGTTCTGAGTCACCATTTACTCATCCATTACAATCAATCCTGTAATCTCTGATTTTACCAATGCTCTCAGTAAAAAAACACCCAAGGGAGGCAAGAGTGCAGGCAGAGGTGTGTCAACATAAAATGTTGCTTGGTTTGTTATCTATACTGATGAGTAAGTATTGCTCGGTTGCTTCAGAACAAAAAGAACTATGACTGTTAATTCACAAATTTTGCAGACAACAGAGCTAATGTTCAACACATTATTGAAATGTTGATTCTAAGTACTGTTAGAAAATTAAAGCTACAAGCAGGGTGTGGTGGCACATACCTTCAATTCCAGCACTCGGGAGGCAGAGGCAGGCGGATCTCTCTGAGTTCAAGGCCAGTTTGGTCTACATAGTGAGCTCCAGGCCATCTTGGGCTACAGGGAGACCCTGTCTCAAAAAGACCAAAAAAAAAAAAAAAAAAAGTGACAGCAAAAACAAAATTCGCCCAAGTGAGAGAACTGAGAATTTCCATTTTATAACCTGGCAAAAAAAAAAAAACAAACAAACACCCAAAAAACCAACAACAACAACAAAAACCCAAAACCAAACCAAACCAAACCAACAAATATTTGCTATCAAAGAAAGCTTCCTTCTGCTTTACACAGATAACAGTTGGCTATTTTAACCTTTATATGTAACTGCATGCACTCATCTGCATTAGACTCATACTAAGGAAAATTCCCTGTTTTGCTTTCATTTAAGTGACACAAATATAGTAGTTTTAAAATGCAGAGCATCAAACATACAATTTAGTATCTTTGTTTTATTTTTTCAGACAGGGTCTCACCCTGTAATTGAAGATGTCTTAGTATTCACTATGTATGCTGAACTCACTGTAATCCTCCTGTCTCAGCCTCCCGAGTAATGAGATTAAGGCAAGAATCACCACATCTGGCTGATAATTTGGTATTTTATTTTTTTATTCATTTATTTATTTTTAAGATAGGGTCTCCCTGTAGCCCCAGCTGGACTGGAACTCACTATGTAGACCAGGCTGGCCTTGAACTCAAGAGATCCACCTGCCTCTGCCTCCTGAGTACTGGGATCAAAGGTGTGCACCACCACACTCAGTCTTGTATTTTATTATTTTTAAAAGATTTATTTTTTCTTTAAAATAAAACGTAGTTCTTTTATTTATGTGTATTAATCTATGTGTGGGTATGTGCACGTGAGCAGATGCCAGTGGAGGCCAGAGGAGGACACTGGATTTCCCCTGAAACTACTGAAGTTACAGGTAGTTGTGAGTGCTAGGAACTCTGTAAGAACAGCAAGTGCTCTTAAACCCTGAGCCATCTCTCCAGCCCAACAATTTAGCACTTGAACTGAAAATTAGGACACAACTTATACGAGGCTAGTCTGCAGAGGTGCCCACCTGTGTGCCATCTCTGTTCAGCAACAATGCCTTCACGTTGTCTGTGTGCCCCTTCAGCTTCATGAGCTTTGCACAGGTTCTGGGATCCCACACTCTCAGAACCTGCCAATTGTAACAGAATGTTATACAAACTGAATACATACACAACCAAACTTATTAAATAACACATGCATTTTATGAGTCAAATGTCAACCATTAAATTCTGAAAAGGAAACACTGCTTGACTAATGTTTGTGTTTAAGGTTGCTAACCATAAAAAGGAAATCTCCCCTGATCACTACATGTACAGTGGTTATGTAGTTACATTTTTATTTCTTCAAATAACACTTCTTTTAGCATACACTAGATAAAAATCAGTTTTTATTTTATTATTTTTAAAAAATATTTTATTATTTTTATTTTATGAGTGTTATGCTTGCATGTAGGTAAGTGCACCCGTGTAGTGCAATGCCAGTGGAGAACAGAAGAGGGTGATGGATCCCCTGGTATTGGAGTTGCGGACAGTTGTTAGCTGCCATGTGGATGCTGGGAATTTGAACCCGGGTCTTCTGCAAGAAGTCAGTGTTCTTAACTGTTGAGCAATCTCTCTAGCCCTTTATTTTATTATTTTTTAGTATTTTATTTTTATTCCCCATACATGAATGTTTTGCTGGGGTATATGTAAATGTATCACATGCATGCAATGCCCACAGAGGTCCGAAGAAGGCAATGGATGCCCTGGAACTGGAGTTATAAACAGTTTTTAGCTGCCATGTGTGTGCTGAGAACTGAACCCCAGTCCTCTGCAAAAGCAGTAAGTACTCTTAAACACTGAGCCATCTCTCCAGCTCCCCATTGTTTGTGAAGATCTGTTTTGTTTTACATGCACAAATGTTTATCTGCATGTATCTACACCACGTGCATGCAGCACCTGTGGAGGTCAGAAGGTGTTGGGTCCCCAGGAATTAGTTAATAGATAGTTATAAGCCAGCCATGTGGGTGCTAGGAACCAAATCTGGGTCCTCTGTAACACTGGCCAGTGTTACAGATAGCACTTAACCACTAAGCTATCGTTCCAGTCTCCCATTGTCTGTTTTTGATTTTGGTTTCTTTGGAGATAGGAGTTTGGCTGTGCTGTTAGGCTGGTCTAGAACTCCTGGACTCAAGTTATCCTCTTGCCTCAGCCTTCTGAGTACTGGGACAATGAGCATGTGCTACTACACCAGACACTGAGCATATATTTAATAACTGCACAGATACAATTACTTTGCTTTTTAAGGTTCAAAAAAACTAGCTAAGTTCCCCCTTACCTTTTCAGTGGACCCTGATACAATGATTGTTCCCAGCTGATTCATGGCCAGGCTGTAAATGGAATCTTTGTTCCCACTCAAAGAAGAAGCTATTGAGGATAAATGGGAGTTATCAGCTGTTTAGTAACTTGTCATCAAAATTTCTAAGCTTACACATTTGATTTAGACAATTTTATTTTTACAAGTATTTTAAGAAAAAGAAATCTATCCATAATATAGATAATTCCAAATAATAGTATCATTATCAGAATTTGTATTTTTCTCAATCTGAGTACATACAAGTGCTCAATAAATATTTGCTAAGTTGAACTGAGCTGTCATTTAACATCTATCCACATCAAGTATTTTCAAAGATATACCTGTGCTAATAAACATGAAAAAATGTCCAGTCATCATTATTCAAGGAAATACAAAACAGGATACCATTCTCACATACAAATCAGATTTTTTAAGGGCAATACTTAGAAGCAAGAATTATGTTCATGCTCTCTGATTTAAAAGTCATTATCACTGAAGTGACAAAGCAGCATGAATCTGTTTACACAGTGTGACTAATTTCACAGAAATAAACATACTGAGAAGTTATTAGTAGAGGAGTTAATACATATGAGGTGCTTGGAAAAATGCCTGCTTGTAAGTATTCAATAGGTCTTAACTATTATTAGTATTACTTCTATACTCATAAAAAGAAACCCTAAAAACCTGGGGTGATATTTTTTCTTAGCAATTCTATCTATGGCAGAATCTATGGCCACTAAGCTTAAGTCTCTGCCTTCTGTGTCTCTGAAGCAGGTCTTAGAGAGGCTAAGGATGTATCAGGTAGGAACTAGCTGATGAATCACTGAGATATAGACAGGTTAAAAAAAAAAAATCATCGCTGCCGTGGTGGCACATGGCTTTAATCCCAGCACTCGGGAGGCAGAGGCAGGTAGATCTTTGTGAGTTCGAGGCCAGCCTGGTCTACATAATGAGTTCCAGGACAGCTGGGGCTACAAGGAGACCCTGTCTCAAAAAGACAAAAAAAAAAAAAAAAAAAAAAAAAAAAAAAAAAAAATCAAGGGAACCATAGTGTTAAGACCTGTACATTACTTCTGGGGAAACAAAATTTGAGAAATTATAAATACCAGTCTCTTGACTTGCCCTTTGTGGCACATACTAGGTCAGGTTAGAGGTATTTTAGCAATGCCATGGGAGCACCTGAGAGTCACGATAAACCGGAGATTTATAATGTAAAGATCTATGTCTCTAACATACCCTCTAGTCTAGGCTACATCAAAACTGCTCCGATAGCCCCAATGACATCTGGTCTGGAAGGCTCAGTAGGCTGGGCCAAGTACAGTGCAGAATTCAAGTCTAGTCTTGTGTAAGTCTGACTTGGTAGTTTATCAAACAGCCACACTGTTTATCTGCCCTGGCCATTTCTGAACTGTCCCTAGCCTCCCTGGCTTCTCTGGAACTGGCTGGATTCCTGAGGGTTGCTCTGAAGCAGTCCTTCTCAACTGTCACTGGAAATCTTCTCTCTCCCTGGGTATTCCTCATCTTGGCCATCAACTCAAAAGCTCTTAATACATAGTGACACTTAAGTCAGAAAACTGGCTGCTTTGTCAGGTAATCACCTCCTTCAAGAATACCCGTTGAGTGTGTAGATTCGGGCAAGGCAGTGCTACGGGAAATACAAAGTAGTGGTAAGACAGACTTTTCTAACCTGCAGGGACTTAGACTTTAACTATGGAGCTAAGACATGCACGCACAAAAAATAGCCAGGTACACCTGGAAAAGTTACCATGTTTAGACTGCAGCGAGGAACTAGCTCCTTGCTGTTCCACCATACTCTTGGGGGCTAGAAGGCTGTAGGTAGAAGGACTCTCAAAATATGAACGACTGTCTTGACGCAAACCTATCAAAGATGTTTTATAAACCATTCTTTATTTATGCCAACTTAGATTGCTTTGAAAACAGTTTTTTTTTCAAACACCTTACTTGTGACAGTGTTATTTGAGGCAGTCAATGCTGTTAGAGTATTCACATCCCAAAGGAATATCTGTCTGTCCAACCCAGCTGATGCTACCAGTTCTTTATCCTTGGCATATGCTAAGGCCTTTACATAATCCTGTAACAGAACAGACACACTATGATCTACTCTGTACATCAACAAGAAAATGAGAAAATGAGCCACACAAAGAACTGAGACCCAATGTTACACCAAAGACCCTGACAACTGTGTTACCTTATGTGTTCTTAAGGTTGACATGCAGAATCCCTTATGTGCATTCCATACTTTCACTGTCGTGTCAGAAGAAGCAGATATCACTAAGAGGCAAAGAATTAACCAAACCTTCAGTTACCTTACAACAAAGTAATGCTACTACAAATTACTGTTCACACAACTCACTCTATTTTTTTTTTTTTTTTTTTTTTTTGGTCTTTTTGAGATAGTGTCTCCCTCTAACCCCAACTGGCCTGGAACTTGCTTTGTAGACTAGGCTGGTATTAAACTCACAGAGATCTGCCTGCCTCTGCCTCCCAAGTGGTGGGACTAAAGGCATGTTCCACCACGCCTGGTTCACACATTCATTCTTAAAAGTTCTTTCCAGAACTTACAACATATAGATACACACACACACACACACACCTGATATATATATATATATACACACACACACACACACACACACACACACATTATTTATTATCTTTAGGCAGGGTAGACTTTTCTAATTGTCCACATGAAAGTCCTTAAAAATTTTTTATATTTGATTTTTATTTTATGTGTATGAGTATACTGCCTGCATGTGTGTAAGTGCACCCATGTTGTACAATGTCTGCTCCGCTGAGGTCAGAAGAGGGCGTCAGATTCCCTGGAACTGGAATTATGAATGGTTGTTAGCCACTTTGTGGGTGCTAGGAATTGAACCTCAGTTCTTTGCAAGAGCAGCCAGTGCTCTTAACTGCTGAGCCAACTCTCCAGCCCCTAAGTCCTTTATTTGACTAAGAAGAATTCCACAGACCGCAAAATTAAGAAATGGACCTTACCAAGCTAAAGAAAAAAACATATCATAAGTCTATTTATTTACAGTCTATTTGTTTTACAGTGCATGTAAAACTAACCCATAGTCTCACACTGTATGCAATGGCTGATAGGAAGGCAGCATGGCACAAGGAGACACCTATTACCAAATGCTGTTCCTGCATTTTACTAACTGTAAAATAAAAATATGTGTACTTTTCTGCATGCATGCATGATTGAATAAAAAAGGCTACAGGGGTTGGGAGCAGGCTCGGTGAGTAAGGGACTGTTGTGTAAGCATTAGGACCTGAGTTAGTATTCCCAGCACCCACTGAGAAAACTGGGTGATGTGGGAGAAGAGACAAAGGAGATCCTGAGAGCCCATTAGCCAGCCAACCTAGCCAGTTAGTGAGCTCCAGATTCAATAAGACACTCTCTCTCAAGAATAAGGTACAAGCACTTAGAAGAACCCCAGGCCTTGGCCTCTGGCCTCTACATGCATAAATCCTGCACACACACACACACACACACACACACACACACACACACACATCTCAACTGAATTAAGAAATTCCAGAAGTCCTTAGACTTACACGTTTTCCCGTTACAACAGAGTACGATGTCGTTGACCCAATCAGTGTGGTGTTCCATGGATGCTATATATGGATCTTGCTGAAATAAAAAGAAAAATCATGGAAGTATTACATCCAAGAGTAAAATACATGACAAAGTACAGATGTGCTCAGATCCCTCAGTTACTATGACATACCATTCTACCTAAAACTGGTAACTGAATCCACAGTGGCAGTTCACTGACAGGCCATGCCTCCAGGCAGCTGATGCAACTGTTTGTTTCAGGACAGTTAACAAAACCAAAGCCTAGGCTTGCAGGGTCAATGCTCAGTTTACACCTTGTGATAGTGAAGGTAACAAGCTCTGAGCTGGTGGGACAGAGTGCTAGAGGACAGGGCTTAGAAAAGGACAGGGAGGACTGGAGGAAGGTGCAGGTGGGGAGATCTGACTCAGTAGTGAATGCTCACAGCAAAGATAAGGGACTGAAGTGAGTGTGATGCCTGGGCTTAGGAGTCTGGCCTAAGGACCAAGGGAGACAAACACTTCAGCTTCTGGCTTCTTACTGCTGTTTGTGATCTTCTGAGTTCAGTGAGTTTCCCCCATGATACCATATTGTCCTTTAGAAAAGAAATGGAAGCCAAGGTCTGAGGAGCATTACCTGCACCCCCATTTCAATCCAGTAACTGGAGGAGACTCCTTTACTGTCACTTGGCTTAAATACCGGAAGCCTTCTAAAGACTAGTATTTTGTTACAGCCTACACCCCATAACAGGCAAGTTTGAGATACTTCATGGACAAAGAAAATAGTTTTTTATAGGCCTAAGAATCAACATTATTCAATCTTGCCATAAAGACCAGGAAAAAGACGTCCGAAGGCAAGACAGACTGCTAGATTCTTCTAGTTAGTGTTTTTTGAGTTTTTCCTTAATCTGTTCAAAATACTGTGAACTCCCCAAAAGGTAACATTCCAATTCAAATATAAGTACCCAAAGCATTTCTGAGGCAAAAAGACACTTTTCTGACTTTCATGCTTTTGACACTAGGCTACCACTGTCTTCATCGGCTAAAGAACTCAAAGCCTGCTGAATGAAGCTCATTGGAAGAAACGCTATCCAGCAACTCTGCCAAGTACATCTTTTTCTGCACTAAACACTAATTTGTAGAGCCTGCTAAAATGTCAGACTTTTTAAAATACAGGGTTTAGTACCAAGGATTTGAAGTTGGGTTGAGATCTAATTCCCTGCCACTTACTAGTCATTTAACCAACAGGTTTCTCTGCACCTGTCTTCTCATCTATGAAACTGGGTCACAGCAGCTGCTCTGAGGGATTACTGTGAGAGTTAGTTAAGGTCTTGGTGGGTAGAAAAATGCTGCAACTGTCTGGAACATAGTTAAGAGCTCAATAATACTCTCCCTCCTTCCCTCTTTTTTCTACATCATTCATAATATCAGCATTCAAAAAAAATACCAAGAGCTCCTTCTCATGTGACTGCAGATTCTGCTTTCCATATATCTAAGCTCCAGGCCCTGTTCAGAAGGCAGGGTTTAGAGACTGGGATGGCTCAGTGGTGGTAGAGAGATTGCCTAGCCTGCATGAGGCTCAGGGCTTGATGCTCAGCACTGCAGAAGAAACAATAAAACCTTAAAATTCTTAAGGAATGAGAAAGCACTGTTCTCATAGTTCTGTACTCACTGTATATTATATTAGCTAATAAGGCCTTATGTGTTTTATGGAGACGCTAATCACTTTTTTTTTTTTGAGACAGGGTCTTACTATGTAGGCCTGGTTAGCCTCAAACTCAGAGATCTGCCTGCCTCTGCCTCCCCAGTGCTAGGATTTAAGGCCACACAAAGAAAATTAAACATTTGTAAACATATAGTCAACCTTCTATTATTTTATTTTTTGCATAGTTGCCAAGAGACTTCTGGAATTCATAATTAAAGTAAAAAAACCTGTGGAGTGTAATCCCTTCCTACCAGCCAAATATCTTTGCTCCTTTGTGGCAGGGACCTCTTACAGCAAACCTAATTTATAGAGTCTTTGCTTTAGCTAAAAACACTCCTGAAACTTTCTTGGAGGTGAGTTTTCTCACAGTATTACAGAATAATGGTTATGTCTTTATATAATATATTGAAAAAACTCAGTGCTCGAAGGGATTAAAGAACTGAAAAAGGAGTCCTATCAGGTAGAGAAAGTCACTAGTTCAGAGTTTTGCATTAACTTTAAATGTCAGCTGACCCTTCTCCTTACCTTGTGCTGATTGACACTCCATATTCTTATGATGGAGTCTCGCCCAGCTGTGAAGAGTCTGTTGAGTGCTGGGTCCAGTTGCAGGGCGTTGACTCCGTTCCGATTGTACTTCTCCACTTCATCTCGAATAACATAAGAAACCTGGTGGGCACACGAACACAAGCCACACAATGAAAGGTATAGCCTACTAGTGACTAATTCCACTATAAAGCTAACTTTCTGGGGCTGGAGAAATGGCTCAGTGATTAAGAGCACTGGCTGTTCTTGCAGAAAACCTGGGTTTGAATCCCAACACCCAGATGGCGGCTAACAACCATCCTTAACTCAGTTCTAGGGGATCTGAGACCCTCTTCTGTCCTCTGTGGGCATTGCATGACACGGGTGCACTTATATACAATACAGGCAATACACTCGTACACATAAAATAAAAATAAATTTTAAAAAAGCTATCTTTCCAAGCCAATACAATTTGTATTTTTATTTTACTCTATGAAGACTAAAGGGCAGAGAGGAGAATGGCATTAATGAAAGCCTGGTCCGAGACTGCAAGCCTGCTGAACCACTGCCCCTGTCTGCTGACGGGACTCCTCTCCCACTCTCATTTGTCTTTAATCTGTTTTCACTGAACTTTCAAACAGGTCAGTTGGAATTAATCTCACTGTGACAGGACATTTAGGGAATCGAAGGAACATGAGAAGTATTCTTGTTAGATAAATTTTGGCACACATACCTATGGAAGAGAACACTGAAGGGTGGGAATGTAGCTCAGTGGTAGAGTCCTTGCCTACCATGTACAAGGGCCTGGATTCTATCCCCAGCACCTCAAAGAAGCCAGGGAATGAGAGAGAAAAAATACTATTCAGTCACTAAAAATGCTTATGTAGATGAGAATTGACACAAGGAAGAGAGAGACGTATTTGTTTGAAGACATATGGTCCAACACATCTATGTACAATAACCACTACTTAAAAGTATTTCAAAATATATATTTTGAAATAAATGTACAAATTTGGAAGGTGTGCTGGATAGCTTTAGTGTCAACTTGACACACCTGAATTGAGGGAGCCTCAATCGGGGAATTGCCTCTATTGGACTGGCCTGTGGCCATGTCTGAAGGGCATCTTCTTGATGAGTGATGTGGGAGGGCCCAGCCCACTGTGGGTGGTGCCACCCCTGGGCAGGTGGGCCTGTGTTGCATAAGAAAGCAGGCTGAGCAGGGGCCAAGGGAGCAAGCCTGTAAGCAGCGTTCCTCCATGGCCTGTGCTCCAGCTCCTGCCTCCAGGTTCCTGCCCTGAGTTCCTACCTTGGGCTCCCTGATGAACTGCGACCTGGGAGATGTAAGACAAATAAACCCTTTCCTCCCCAAGTTGGTACTGGTCAGAGTGTTTTGTCATAGCAATGAAGAACAAACTAGGACAGAAGGACATACATACAAAACTACTAGTAGTTATTATTCCTAAATGAGAGGATTATGATGATTTTTTTATTCACTCATGTTCTTTATTTTTTTAAAGATTTATTATTTTTCAGCTATGTGTATGTTCTGTGTGGGTATATGCATATATAATGCTGGTGCCCACAGAGGTCAGAGGTGTCAGATCTTCCCAAAGTGGGAGTTACATGTGGTTGTGACCTGCCCTATGTGGGTGCTAGGAACAGAATTTAGGTCCTCTGCAAGAGCAGCATGTGCTCTTAACCAATGAGCTATTTCTCCAGCTCCACTCATGTCTTTTAATGTGGTCTGATTGTTTTTTAAGTAGCATATACTAATTTCTTTAAAAATGTTTAGTAATTCTTGCTTGTATCTATAAAGTCCAATAGCACTAAAAGACTGTAATGAAAAACAGCTGTCCTACTGTGTGGGTAGGACTCTCCCAAAAGTTTCCACTCTCTCTAGTGGAGAGTTACTGCATCTCACCAATACTGGGATGCTGTTATAATTTTTTGGATAATCCACAGTGAGCATTTCCTTATTAAAAATATTTTATGATTTTAATGTGTATGAATGTATTGCCTGCATATATAGAAGTGCACTCGTGTCGTGCAATGCCTGTGAAGGTCAGAAGAGGGCATCGGATCCCCTGGAACTGGAGTTACAGATGGCTGTTAGCATCCATGTGAGTGCTGGAACTCGAACCTGGGTCTTTTACAAGAGCAGTCAGTGCTCTTAACTGCTAAGCCATCTCTCTAGCCCCCATAGTGGATATTCCTGCTACTGTAGATTTGGATGTGCCGCTAAACTACCCTCACTCAGCATTTCTTCCCACTCTTCCGATGTACTGCTACACTGTGACCATCAGGCTGTCAACTGACTAACCAAGTACATACTTTATTAGGAATCATTTCCTTCCTCAGAACTTTGTGCTTTCTCTCCCATTTTTAACCTTCTTTCTTTCCTCCTGCAAGGTCTTCCCTTTAACTCCTATTTTCTTCAAGCCAGCTATTGTAGAATTCATCTCACACTTTTGCTCCCAGTGGGATTTGCCTGGGGCCCTCCATCTTCTCACTGCAGCCTGGCCTGCACGCACAGTCACTGCCTTCCATACCTCCCTTCACTGTTTTCCTGGGCTAGGGCCATTACTGCTCTAGTGCTCTGATACCACCTTTTTGCTTTGCTCATGCCTTAAAGACATTTTCATTCCCATCATTATCATCCTGTTTAACGGAAATGGGTTTTCTATCACAGCTCTAATAGCACCACAAATGCAGTGGCTTAAAACATGCTATTATTTCCTTTCTGAAGGTCAGAAGTCCAGGTTGGGCTTACCTATATCCTCTGAGAAGGATCTTGCAGGCTCAAACTGACCAGAGTCAGAAGGTCTGTGCTCTTTAGCAGAGGGTCTAGGAAAGAGTCTGCTTCCACACTCACTGGGGTTGCTAGTCAATTCAGCTCCCTGTGAATGTGGGCCTGTGGTCCTTGTTTTGTTTACTTACTGCCTGTCAGTCCATCGTTGCTCCTTACAGCTGTCTGCATTCTTTCTTATGCTTTCCCTGCGGTCCTCTCAGGGAAATTGTAAAGATTTGGAGTCCAAATCTCTCAAGTCTCTTTTCTGTCTTCTGTCTCCAGCTGGAGAAAGTACTGTACTTTTAAGGGCTTAAAGGGTAATCCTCCTATTTTAAGGCCTGTAACCTTACCACATCTGCAAAACCCTTTTTCTCATAAAGTGTAACAGATGCACAAGTTCCAGGGATTAGGGGACCAACATTTCCAGGGCAGCCCATTCTGGCTACCATAGTGATGAAACCACTTTTTTCACATAAAACAATTATGTGCATCTTATGGAATTCAAAAAAAAATCATGTAAAAAAGGAGAAAGGGGCTGATGAGATGGGTCAGTGGTAAAAGGCATTTGCTCCCAAACCTGATGACCCAAGTCCCATTACCTGGGATGCACATGGTGAAAGGAGAGAACCAACTCCTACAAGTTGTCCTTTGATTTCTATATGCTCATGACACTCCCTCAATTCCCACAACCCCAAAAATAAAAAGTGAAAAATAAAAAAAAGAGAACTTTTTTAGTCTCACAAAGGGGACACTGGGAATTCCCTCAGGCTCCCTGAAGGCTGAACATTAATTCATCTACTATTCTATCTAAAGGACATTAGTGTTTAAGAGCTCTTTCTGTTCTTCCAGGGGACCTGGGCTTGGTTCCTGGCACCCAAATGGACTATCTCACAACCACTTGTGACTCCAGCTCTAGGGCATCTGACACCATCTTCTGGCATCTGCAGGCACTGACACACATATACCTAAACAGAGACATACAAAGACAGACACAGACACATGAATTCAAATGCCTTGTCCTGCAGTCTCATCTCAACTGATGGCTACACTATTCAAGCTGCTCAGGTCCCAAACCTTGTCCCATCCTTGCATCTCTCTTCCTCATCTCACAGCCTGTCAGCAAGCCTTGGTAGGTCTATTTATCCAGAATTAAACGCGTTCTCATCACTGTTTAGAAACAGTCAAGGCATCTGGATAAAAAAGAAAAAAAAAAAAGCAGCTAGGCTGTTGTATTAAAAGACATGCACAGAGGCCCTCCCTTATCCATGGGAGATATGTTCTAAGACCTCCAGTGGATGCCTGAAGCCCCACACATGGGATGTATCTGTATACATAGTATACCACACACCTATGATGAAGTTTACTTTATAAAATGAGCACAGTAGATACCAATGACTAATAATAGAAGAGTCATAATAACATTCTGTAATAATTATGGGAATGTAGTCTCTCAAAATCTCATATTGTACTTCTACTTTCTCACTAAAAGGAAGTGCTTCATGGCTTCTCTTTGGCACTCCCCAATCACCAGCATTGTTACTCTGGGCCTTTGGGTTATTCCTGAGTAAAATATGGGTTACTTGACCCACCGTGACAGCAGGACAAATGGGTGTCAAATGCTGATGACTTAGACAACTATGAAATAACCATGGGTGGTGACCACACAGCATGGACACTCTGGACAAGGGGGATCACCATCTGAGTGGTGTGACAGCAAGAGACTTTATACCTTGTAAATTATTACTAGTAAACTAGAGTTTTTCACAAACTGTAGATAGCCATGAGTAACTGACACAGTGGGAAACCAACTGTGGATGCAAGCAACACTATGTCTATCATGCTATTCCTCTGCTCAAAACTCAACTGGCTGCTCCTTCTCATGTCATGATCTGAAGGGCCCTCCATGATCTGCAGGCACTTCCCTGACTGCATCTTTTCTTTTCTTTCCTTGACCCCAGGCCTCTTTACTGCTCCATAAACAAGCCACAATCCCACCTCAGGACATCTGCATCTGGTATTATCAGTGGAATGTCCTCCCAGACGGTTGTGGCTATCTCATTTCCTCTCTTTCAGATCCTTATTCACAAGTCCCCAGCTCAAGCAGGGCCTTCCCAGCCCAACATAAAAATTTCACTTATGCTGGGAACGGTAGCACACACCTTTAGTCTCAGCACTCAGGAGGCAGAGGCTGGTGGGTCTTTATGAGTTCAAGGCCAGCCTGCTCTACATAGCCAGTCCCAGGCCAGTCATGGCTACATAGCAAGACGCGGTCTAAAAAAAAAAAAGAAAAATCACCCAGTTTCTTCTACTGCTTACCACTACCAGCAGTTCCTAATCTTTGAAGCCTATTTCCTCT